ATCAGAAATTACTATACATGTGCATCTCACAGTGTCTTCGTAAAATGGTAGATACATTAAGTCCCATTAACGTTCCTTGAACAGAAAGGTGCTTGGTCATTACAGTCTTTAAACATCTTCAACTTTGGACCTTCTTAGAAGGACCAATTGGAACGTTCGTTTATGTCCCCTAACACAACACAAATGACAAACAGGAATAAAAGAAGTCATTTTACTTTCCACTAGAGGCTTTGATTTCTTAAGGTCTGATGAAACCTTGCCCTTAGGGTTCGATCCCTTTAGGTCTTTATAGGAAATTGTGAGCCTCAGCATACAGTCAGCAGCCTCAGCAACTTCCTCAGCTTTAATCAGGTTACGTTCTCTGATGAATGTTCGTATCTGATGGGAAGAGCTGTCAGGAACTGGTCAGCAACCATGAAGTCCTAAGAGATTCATAACTGTGATCAATTCCTGAACTCTCTATCCAAAAGTCGAACAAACGAAGAGTGTTACCTGTAACTGCTGAAAGTTCTGGCCAGGCTGTAAGGTGGCATACCTGAAATCTTTTCCTGTAAGAATTGTGTTTTTTGGATATGCTTTAAGGATTGCCTTCTTCAGTAGGTTATAATTACATATGATATCCTGCGACAAAGTTGCATAGATATTCAAAGGCTGTACCAGAATATAACATTCCTAACCTGGTAGCCCATGTGTCAGCAGGCCATTCACAGAGGGTAGCGGTATTTTCAAACTGATAATGTATGAAGTTATGTCTTCCCCCTCTGTGAAGGGAGGTAAATTAGGTGTTGGAATATGTGCACTAGCTGCACTTGTTCCATTACTCCTTCTCTAATTGTGTTGTGTAAAGTTAACTTTTTATTCTCTAATTCAGGCGAGCTTTTCGAGCTCGCGATCCTTTTCTCTCTCTATTAACTCATTCTCTAGCTCTTTCCTACGTTCTCTCAGTTCCCTTTTTCCTCAAGTCTCTATCAGCCTTTTTGTCTTTGTCTCTTCAAACGTTCTTATCTTGGCTTTCTCAGATCAAGTCTATCCCTCTTTTTTTCTCCTTCTTTCAGATTCTCTTTCTCCTTTTCTCTTCTCTTTCGATTTCTCTCTCTCTTTTTCTCTTCTTTTCGATTCTCTCTCTCCTTTATTCTTCTCTTTCGATTCTCTCTCCTCTTTACTTTTCTCTTTCTTTCTAACGTCTTTTCTCTCCATTCTCTCTCTTTAAGTTTTCCTGATCTAGCACTATGAAAATTCTAAATTTTCCTTATTCCTAACTTACTTCCAGCATTCATCCAAAACTGGTATTCCTCCATGCTTGCAAGAATAACTTAAACTATCAGGGAAAATGAAACGGGTATTAAGAAAATGGAGGGTTCAATTCCTGCTCGCTCAAACTGTAAATAAACCAGAGGGCTCGATCCCTGACTTCAATTAAACAATATGTATTAATGAAAACGAAGGTTCTATGCGGCTCCGAGCAAACAGTAAGTAGAATGGGGTCACTTGACCATCCAATCTTCTCACCAACAAATCAAGAGTGTCCTATGACATGTTCCCTTGATATAATAAAGAGTCAATGAAACAAATTGTCACTGGAAAATCTCGGTCCCTAGAGTCTAATCCTCCAAGTGTTTCAAGCTCAAAAAGTGGCAGAATTAAATATTATATCCTGCCTGACATTGACTTACAATAAATTGAGACATAACAATCACCAAATCTTTTAAATACCTGTACTGTAGTCCTACCATAGAGAATGAATACTCATGGCTGGTGGTAACCGTCTGTGGTATGCGGCGTTGAAGTTCCAATGGTAGATTCGAGATGGAGTTGAATCTTGATTCAGTAGAGTTGATCCTGGCAAGGGTCGCCACTTGTAAGGTTTACTCAGCCCTGTAACAACACAGACAGTATTACCCAGGCTGGCGCTCCTCTCTGGAAAATTAGTGAAAAGAAAAAGAAAATATAACAGACAAACATAAACAGCATTATTATGTAGAAAATATAAAATAATAAAACACTTAAATATGAAATAATTATCCCTACATTAAAGAAAATGAAAAATGAACAATAAAAATGATAACTGATTCCAACGCAACTGTTAACATTTGGTGTCTGGTTTGGTGACCACTGCTTGTTGAAATCACAACCGTTTGCTGATGATGGGGGGGGGGGTCGCAGGTTGTTGGTGACCGCACCACTGGCTTAGTTCTTCCAGATTAACTGCCGTGCGTATTATCCCGATGACAGGAAAGCAGGTTCTTTAACCGCTGCAATGATGTGGGGTACGTCCTGCAATTTCATACAGGTGCACAGTTAATTCAAAAAGGGGAGAAAGTCTCTGACATTAGTCCTTCTCCATCCGTTTCTTCATGATGATTGACAGGTGACCCTCACTGTCATCCAAGAGTAGAGTTGGGAGCTGTAAGTCTAGTGATTTACTGTTTGACCAGAGCCCCATACATCACCTTTCGAGGGGGTGGAAAGAGAGGGGAAGGGATAGCGGGAGCTAGACTGACCCCTACTAACGTTAACATATCAGCCGTCATCAAACTATCACTTTGAGGGTGGGGGAGAAAAGGCGGGAAAAACGGGAGCGTGACTTACCCTACCTTAACTAGTAGCCGGTAATGAAACTATCACTTTCTGGGAGGGGGAAGAAAGGCGGAGCGTGACTTACACTACCTTAAACAAGTAGCCGTTAATGAACTATTGTTACTATATTGCTACATCCCTATCTATTGAACTTTTCCCTCACACTCCGGCATTTTAGTCGCCACATACGACATGCATGTCTACGGAGCAAGATTCTTTTTCCACTTCCCCATGACATAGAAGAAATAAAGAAGAACAAAGCTATGTAGAAAAAGGAGAAAAACCTAGATGTATGTATATATATATGCAAGTGCATGTCCCTCTGAAGTTGTGACCAAAGTGAAAGTTGGAGTAGCAATATATCCCCTGTTACTAGCGTGTTTATGAGACAGAAAAAGACACCAGACTTATCCCCCTATAATTTTTTGCACATCCCCCCCCCCCCGTCCGTTTTGTCCCTTTGCCTTTATACAAAGAACTATGCATGCTCTCTGCAATCCCTAGGTACCTTACCCTCTTCCAAACATTTAATTAAAATAATTGCACCAACCAGACTCCAAAAACTATATCTCCCACCTGCTTTAACATTTCTATCTTATCCATCCAATCCCGGCTGCCTTACCCCCATTTTCATTTACCTACTGCCTCACGAACCTTCCCCCCACACTCACACTGGGCTCTTCCTCACTCCTACAGATGTATTTCCTCCTTGGGCCCTAAACACGCAAATCACAGCTTCCCTATCTTCATCAAAACATTTTAACAATTGGGCTCAAAATATTCCCTCCATCTTCCCAATACCTCTAACTCTCCATTTAATACCTCCTCTCCTATTTGTAACTATGACACATCCATTTGTTCTCTAGGCTCCTTAACTTGTTAATCTCACCTCCAAAAACTTTTCTTATTTTCAACAAAATTTGTTGATAACATCTCACCACACTCCACATTTTGCTCACTTTTAAACACATTGCTTCCCCACTCTCATTAACCTCTCCTTTTCTTCATATACTCTTCCCTCCTTGCATCACTTCTACTATTGAAAAACTTCACATATGCAAACTTTTTCTCCCATCAACTCTCTTTACATCATCATTCCACAAATCGCGTCCTCTTTCCCCTCCGGCACCCACTTTCCAGTAACCACAACTTCTGCTGACACTCTAACATTAACATTTTTAAACCTACCCCATACCTCTTCGACCCCCATTGCCTAAGCTCTCATTAGCCCATCTATCCTCCAATAGCTTGTTTAATAATCTTACCCTAACTGCCTCCTCTTTTAGTTTAATAAACCTTTATCTACCAATAACATAATCGCAACAAACTACTGTCATTTCGCCCTACAATCATATCTTGTATACATATTTATCCTCTTTTTTCTTAAAAATATGTATTACCTATAACTAAACCCCTTTCATACAAAGTTCAATCAAAGTGCTCCCATTATCATTACACCTGGCAACCCCAAACTTCCCTACCACACCGGGATCCCTCTCTAAAAGTTCTCCTACTTTTTAGCATCAGGTCCCCTACCACAAATACTTCTCTCACTTTGGTTCAAAGGCTCCTATACATTCACTTAACATCTCCCAAATCTCTCTCTCTCCGCTGCATTTCCTCTCTACATTTCTCCAGGTGCATACACGCTTATTATGACCCACTTTTCGCATCCAACCTTTACTTTAATCCACGTAATTCTTGAATTTACACATCATATTCTCTTTTTCTCCTTCCATAACTGATCCTTCAACATTACTGTTACCCCTTCCTTTGCTCTAACTCTCTCAGATACTCCAGATTTAATTCCATTTATTTCCCCCCACCGAAACTCCCCTACCCGCTTCAGCTTTGTTTCGCGTAGGGCCAGGACATCCAACTTCTTTTCATTCATAACATCAGCAATCATCTGTTTCTTGTCATCCGCACTACATCCACGCACATTCAAGCATCCCAGTTTTATAAAGTTTTTCTTCTCTTTTTTAGTAAATGTCTACAGGAGAAGGGGTTACTAGCCCATTGCTCCCGCATTTTAGTCGCCTCATACGACACGCATGGCTTACGGAGGAAAGATTCTTTTCCACTTCCCCATGGACAATAGAAGAAATAAAGAAGAACAAGAGCTATTTAGAAAAAGGGAGAAAAACCTATATGTATGTATATATATATGCATGTGCGTGTCTGTGAAGTGTGACCAAAGTGTAAGTAGGAGTAGCAAGATATCCCTGTTATCCAGCGTGTTTATGAGACAGAAAAAGAAACCAGCAATCCTACCATCATGCAAAACAGTTACAGGTTTCTGTTTCACAGTCATCTGGCAGGACGGTAGTACTTCCCTGGGTGGTTGCTGTCTACCAGCCTACTACTTAATTGTTAATTATAAACAAATGTATTTATATATTCTTTATACACTTTTTTTCCAGTCTGTTCAGCTAGAGGCTAAATTATTGAGTGGTGATATTCTTCAAGAGTTTGAACTGATCCCACGCATGAAACTAAATGCTGACTTCACTACAGCCACCAAGCCAGACAATATACCACGCAACCGCTACAAGGATATTGTTCCCTACGAAGAAAACAGAGTCAAGATTACCCCTACCAAGGATAATAAAAGTGGTTATATTAATGCTTCACATATAACAGTAAGCATGATTGTCTTGTATATTCTTATGGAAACTTCTTTGGATGATTTGATAACAAATATAATCAGGTGAAATTCCAAATAAATACTAGTTTGGGACTGGGCTGCTGGGGCATTGACCCCTAAAAACAACCTTCAGGTATCCTTACTTGTGCACATTCTCCATCATATCTGTATGTAACACGATGAAAGCCATTTGTTCTAATATTCTGTACTCTTATCAGGATTTTATTTTAATTTGCAGGCAAGTGTTGGAGAGGGCCAGCGGTTCTACATCTGCTGCCAAGGCCCACTCGCCAACACTGTTGCACACTTCTGGCAGTGTGTATGGGAGGCAGATGTGTATCTGGTGGTAATGTTGACTTCCGTCACAGGGGATACTGCTACCAGCAAGAGTTTTCCTTATTGGCCACAAACAGATAACACAAGTGTTGAATGTGGACAGGTAGGTGTGGCTTCAAGGTGAAATTTGATGCTGACTGTGTATTGATATCTTTATCTCAGTACCCATTTCCCACTAAGGCAGGCTGATCCAAAGAAGGAACCACATTCACCAAATCACTGCCTTGCCAGAAGTATGCCACCATTACAGATTCAGATTACTCTCTGACTGCAACATCCCCAGCCCTCCTTTAGAATGCAGGCACTACTCTTGACACCTCCAGGACCCAAGTCTGGCTAATCAGTTTCCCCTGAATCTCTTCACAAATGTTACCTTGTTCACACTCCAACAGTACAGCCATTAAAAACCACTTGGCTCCATGTACTTGTCTAACATGCTTATACCAGCCTGGTGGGTGCTTAAGCACCTAAAAATCCAGTCCAGTCCTTTACTTCCCCCTTCCACTCCTGATATATATACCCACTTTGTCATCCTGTCTTTCTCCATCCTCTAAATGGCCAAACCACTTTAGGAATCCCTCCTCAGCCTTCTGAATTATCCTTGGTGACCCCACACTGAACACTGCATAATATTCACACCACACATTGCTCTCTACCTCCTCCAAGTTTTTCCTTGTTGCAGTGTTCAAAGTCCATGCCTCACATCCATGCAAGTGTTGTACCACTATTCTGGTACAATTCCTTATGTAAACTTTTCTTTCACAGATACCTCTTCACACCACTATCTTTTCACCCTCATTTATTGTATGGGTCACCTCATATTGTAGGCCCATCTGTTGACATGTCCACTCCAAATATCTGAATACATCAAATATGATGTTCAACCTATCACTACCTAGACTTTTCTGTTACCCTAATCACCTTTCTCTTTTCTGTGTTCACTTCTGATTTCCTACTTTTACATGCCTTCCCAAATTTGGCCACCAACTTTGCAGCTGGTTTTCAGCTTCTTGCAAAACAACTATCATTGGAAAAGAGCAACTGTGCCAATTCTTACTTTGTATAAGATCCAGCATCTTTTAATCCCACACCTCTCCCCAACACCCTAGCAATTACTTGTTATACAACCATACCCCCCCTCTCTCACTAAATATATTGAATAACCATGGTGACATCACACATTCCTGTCTAAAGTCCTACTTTTACTTGAAAATAACCCTTTCCTTGTACCTATCCATATAAAACTTCTTAGCAACCTACTGTCTGTTCCATACATCTGCCACATTACTGTCCATTCACCCTATAATATGCCTTTTGTAAAGCCATAGGATATTATTATTATAATCAAAAAAGAAGCGCTAAGCCACAAGGGCTATACAGCAAAGCCATAGGATAGCAAGAAATGTAGAGTTAAAGAAGTTGGAGCCCATCCCTGCAAACTCACTAGTAGTTGATAGACTAATTTATTTGTATTTTCTTCCAAGTAGAAGGGGAGGGGGGGGGGGTTGATGCTGGTAAAGGGATCTTGATTGAAATAATTGGAACTTCTCTCAGTTCTCAAATTGTGTATGACAATCTCCTATTCTCAAGGCATTGCATGACCCCTGTAGGTTTAGTTTCACTATGAATATAATACTCCCTTTTTATTTCAGTATTTTGTAGATTATGTAAGGCTGTAATCATTTTATTCCTTCACTTGCAGTATCGAGTGTTCAGGAAGCACAGTACATTGAGTGGGTCCCACATTACTAGTCGACTGCAGGTGGTTCATGTGCCTGCACGCAAGACTCGCACTATTTGGCACTTACAGTTTACCGATTGGGCTGACCATGGTTGTCCAGAAGATATTCTTGGATATATTAGTGAGTAATAGTTTTACATATTTAGTGAAGCATTTGACTAACATATGAAGCCAGAGTTCATTATTAAAGATAAACATGAATGTGAATGGGTGGTCAAGGTAAGCAGAATGAAAAGTGATGTTTTTAAGTGCTGCTCTAGTTACCATAAGGGAAGTGTGTGTGTTTTATTTATAACACTCCGGCCATCTCCCAGTGAGGTAGGTGACCTGACAAAGAAGAAAATAATCCCACTGTCACTCATTTAAACATTGTCTTACCAGAGGGCATGGACATCACAGTTTGGATGACCCTCTAAACTGCAGCATCCCCACCTCTCCTTCAGAGAGCAGGCACTGTACTTTCCACCTCCAAGACTGAAGTCTAAGTAACCAGTTTTCCTGAATCCCTTCATATTTTACCTTGCTCATGCCCTAACAACTACTTGCTTTCACTTCTATCTTAACATGCTTGCAAAAGCCTGTTGGATGTCCAAGCCCCTAGCATTCAAAACTTCTTTCACCCCTCCCTGCAATCATTCCTAGGAAGACCCTTACTCCTTCCCTCCACCTCGGATATATACACAAGTACAAAAAAAATCATGTGGTGGTAGTATTACATTCACAGGGAGGGGGGTGTTAAACCCATAGGGGTAATACAACACCTGAGGAAAGGGAGGCATTCCAATTTGATTCAAAGTTAGGTCCAGTTTTTTCACTAGTAACATGGCTGTGTGTTGTCTTTAGCAGAGTGGTCTCTAGCTTGGTCTGTTCCTTCTGGTGTTCAGAGTAATGAACTCTTAAACCCTTCTTCATTGCACTCTTTGGAACCTTGCTTGAATAACCCACATGGGTTTAGTGCTTTATGTAATGGAAGTCCTCTTCCATGGTCTACCCTTAATGTTTATTCCTTTGACTTCTTAGTTGATACTGATTTACAATACATGACTTCTTGTCTGCCCTACAGCTCTAAATGGCCCTTCCAGTTTTATTTTTTGTTAATATATGTAATATGAGAGGTGGAAAAGGTGAATGTCATGTTGCCAGAATATACAATATGGTCAGGAATTATGTGCTCACATCAGGCAAGATATCTGTATTGATAGGGATCTGAACAAGGACAAATACATAGATGGAAACTGGAACACCCATAAAAGCATCAGTGATATACTGTACTTCACCAGTATAAGGGTAGTGAAAAGGTGGAATGAGGTAAGTGAAGTGCATAAAATGATAACATCTAAGAGGCTAGGAACTTGTTACCCCAAATGATTCAAAGAGCATGCCAAGAGGAGAAGGCATCACATAGGGAAGGGGCCCCACTAGTGGAAGTAGGTAAAGTCCTTATGGTGAGGCACAAGTTTAGTAACGGAGCAGCATCCAACAGTGGATCCTAAAAGAACATATAAGCAATAATTATGATTAAATTACTCTATGTTCATATTGATCTGTCTTTTAGTATTCTTAGGTGATTGGCAACCACCTTGGCAGCTATATTGCTTTTCTGAAATTCCTCAAGAATGACAGTGGCACCTACAGGATTATCAGACTAGACACCTCAGAAGTTTAATATCATGCACCAAAAAAAAAAAAATATACCAGGTTTTTCCCCATGATTTAAGGATTCCCATTTCTTGTATCAAAACTGATTAACTCCCAATCCCCAGATGATGTATGACCTCCTACAGGTTTGTTGTTTTTATGTTATAATAGTATTAGTACATCTTTTCACCAGACTGTTAGCATTTCACATATATAGAAAAAAGAAGTGCTAAACCTAAAAGGGACATACAGTGCTGCCAGGCAGGGAAGGATGCAGAAGTATTGGAATGATTATTAGGTCATTGAGTGCAGTGGTAGAAGTATATCACATAACCTCTCTCTAGGTGATCATGATAAAGAAATAGTCCATCTAACTAATACTACTATTAACATCCCAGGACATTACTGTATAACCTTTCTGAACTTAAGAGGCCAAGAATTTTTATTGCATATTGTTATATTTGTTCATTCCACAGGTTTTTTGGAAGAATTATCAACCCTGCGAAGGTACACGTACCAGGAGGTTCGGGGTGTAGGGCGCAACCGCAACACCCCAGTGCTGGTGCATTGTTCGGCAGGTGTGGGTCGTTCTGGGGTCACTATCTTGTGCGACCTCCTTTTAGAGGCTACAGATCACAACCTTCCTTTGGATCCTCCAAAGGTTCTTCTTCACCTAAGGCAACAGAGGATGGCACTTGTTCAGACCATTGCCCAATACAAGTTTGTGTACCAGGTATTACTGGCCTACCTGAATAGAGCCAGGCTTATTTAGTTCTTCCAGAGCCATTAGGCTGTGATTTTTGGTTTAATCATTTTACATTTCTTACAGCAGAGGCTCATTTCCCCAAATATTGTTGGAAACTTAAAAGTCTTATCATTTTAATTACAATATAAATATGGGCATAGTAGAGTACATGAACATTTGCTACTTCCATGATTCTGTTTAACTGTCCTTATAGAATCTAATACTCAAGACTTTGGTAAGTTCATTACCAATTAACTAATGATTCTGAATGCATGACAACTATAAGTCAGTTTTTATCCAAAAGTATTGAAAGTTTAACACTGGTGTGTTTTGATCCAGTCAGCTGTGCATGTTGGTGGAATGTAAGAATATATTTTTAAATTATAAAAAACTAAATTGTTTAAATTATGCCAAATAGTTGTACAATTGATATTTTTATTACTGTTATTGATTCTATAAGTGTCCAATAAATGTAACTATTTTTTAAGACTATTTTATTGAGATTGTTGAGTACAAATATCCTAACTGTGTAAAATGGTTGAAAACATTAGTGCAAGATGGATTAACCCAACATGGCTCTTTGCCCTTTAAGATGCTCATTCTCCTCCCATTTTCAGCAGTCTGGATATACAAGAATCCCTTGTCCTTGTTGCCAAAGTTTATTTTGTTTACCCGGTAAATAAAAAAAAAAAAAAAAAAAAAAGTTAAAACCAATTAATGGATTTATTTTCCCATATCTCTACTGGAACAGACACTTCATGCTTACAGCAGTCAGCTATCATTCAGCCTGATATAACATGACTTAACCAAATGTCAATGCTATAAAATAGGAAATACCTAAAATAAATTTTGCTAATCAAATTTATATTTGTGGCAGTGGAAAGTGTGCAGCACTTGTATTCAGAAGGATAAGGAGAGATGGTAAAGTTTAGAAAATCAGTCTAATTGTGATGCCCACACACTAATGCTGAGTTATTAGGTCTCCTTGAAGGGGTATCTTCAAGTGATTAAAAAAAAAATTTCTAAATTATTTATAACTTGAATGACTACTTTGATGAGCATAGCTATCAATGCTGGCTTACTGTGACTAGGGAAAAGTTCATGCAACAATGTTCAGATTCTCTCTAGACCATTCCTGGTTTTTGGAATTCATCATAATTTAAAAGAATCTCTGCTGATTAGCTTCAAATTCTCAGTGGCACACAAACTATGACTTGACCCTTGCAACTACACACAGGAATATTGATGGTTAATCTGGGCCCTTTACACAATATATGTTAAACCTATCTTGAAGTATGCAGGACCAGTATGGAACCTGCACCTGAAAAAAAGCATATAAAGAAATGGGAGAAAGTGAGAAGATATGCAACAAGGATTGTTCCTGAGAGAAGGGGTATAGCCCATGGCTTAGCGCTTCTTTTTGATAATAATAATGAGAGAAGGAGTATGAGCTATGAGAGGCTAACTGAATTGGACAACAGAAAAACCGGGGCACATAACCTAAAATATTTTCAGGGGGATTGATAAGGTAGACAATTATTATTATTATAATCAAAAAGAAGCGCTAAGCCACAAGGGCTATACAGCGATAAGGTAGACAAGGATATGCTGTTTGAGAGGTGAGAAACAAGAACTCAGAGACACTGATAGAAGTTAGTCACAGACAAGCCAGTGTGATGTTAGGAAATATTTCTTCAGTCTGAGTGGTCTGGAAGTGGAGACAGGTCCATACAATTTTATAGCAGGTACAATAGGGCCCACAAGGCTACAAGGGGTGAATCTGAAGAGTAGCAAGAGGCAGGGCCAGAATATCAACCTCAAATAATGAGTACACAGCAAGATGACAACCTCATCAAAGAAAGGGACAGTACCAGAAGTTGAGGCATACAAGTGGATTTTAGTACAGAAAACATTATTGAATTATTATTATTATAATCAAAAAGAAGCGCTAAGCCACAAGGACTATACAGCGCTGCAGGGCAGGAAGCGAGGGCATCAGGTGGGAAAAGGGAGATGGATGAGTAATAGGTTACAGATAACAGCGGGGTAGTGGATGGTGAAAGGGTAAAGGGCAGCAAGAGACTGAACTAGAAAGGGCTGAGGGGAGAGCGAAAAGTATCATCAGAGTTTGTGGAGTAAATCAGTCGTTGTCAAGAAGTCAATGAGAGAGTCAGGATTAAAGGAGGGTCCATCACAAAAAGGGGAAGGTAAAAAAGGGGTAGTAGAACGAAGACGACGTTGGAGGTAAATTCTGCGTGCTCGTTGATAGAGAGGGCAGTCTAACAGAATGTGGCTAATCGATACTGGAACTTGACACTGCTCACAGAGAGGAACAGGGTGCCTCTCCATGAGATACCCATGAGTAAGACGAGTGTGGCCAATGCGAAGGCGGGAGAGAGTGGTCTCCCAACCTCGGCAGTGATGACAAGAAGACGGCCAGTAACCTATGCTCGGTTTAATAGAATGAAGTTTGTTACCGAGCAGAGTTGACCAACGTTGTTGCCAAGGGGGCGAAGGTGGGTAGCTATTGCAGCAAAATAGTCCAGAAATGGAACACCTCGATAGGAAAAATTTGGTAGGTCATGTACTGCTGACCGCGCAGCATGTCTGCCTGTTCATTGCCCTGTAAAGTCGACATGACCAGGGACCCAACAAAAAACAATATCTTTATGTTTGGTAGAGATACGGCGTAGCCAAAGTTGGATACGGAGAACTAGGGGAAAGAGATGTATCAAATTTTTGTATAGCCTGTAGAGCACTAAGGGAGTCTGAGACTACTACAAATGATGACACAGGCATAGATGCGATACGAATAAGTGCTGCAAGAATGGCATACAGTTCAGCAGTAAAAATGTTAGCTGAAGATAGTAAATGACCCCGCACGACGTCTGTCCAGAAACACTGCGCGAATCCGACGCCGTCTGAAACTCAAGAGCCATCTGTGTACACAAGCGGTGCATGAGAATTGGAGTGGAAGTGATCAAGAAAACGATAGCGGGAAGCACCGTAGGCAGTTGAGCTTTCGAGCAAGGAGTGAGAATGAACAGAACCCGAACAGCTGGAACTTCCCAGGGGGTAGGAAAAGGTGAGAATGCTACATAAACAAAAAAGTGTTAACTGAAGGGAAGACGAGTGAATGTAGTCGAAGAGAAAAGATGGAGCAAACGGGCGGCTAACGAAATAAAAGAATGACTACTAATATCGGTGACCATTTCTATAAAATGGAAGGATTGTGTAGATCGTGAGAGTGTACAAGTAGCGAAGGCAATGGCATCACGGCAATCAGACTAGGATGGAACATTCACTTCTGTATAGAGGCTCACACAAGGGAAGAGCGAAGCACCAAGGCACAAACGTAATCCTTGGTGATGGATAGTTAAGGCTAGATAGAGTAAGCGGAGAGCCGCGGAATCAAATCTGGATCCACCAAAACGAGTTACGATAAAACTAGTGCTGAATGAGCGAAGCAGAGTTCGAACGATCAGCTCTCCAGGAAAGATTAGGCAAGGGTTTTAAGAGGTTTAGCCGGCTGGTGACAAGTTGCCTTCAGAGAGGTTAATGGTGGAGGTTCAGGATAACCTACGGTCATAGAGAAGGCCCAGAAACCTGACTGAATCACGTTCGGGGATTACGGAGCCATAAGATACAAAGGATGAATCGGAGATAACAGAGTTGTCTAGTGAAAGTAATTGCGAGTTTTGGGTACTTGAAAATTTAAACCCATGCGTTGTGCCCAAGTGGAAACACGGTCGACCGCATGCAGGAGAGAAACTGCAATAAGATAGACAATCAGCGCCTGCACAAGCAATAGCGAAGTCCCTCAACATAGTGATGACCAAATATTGGAGAAGAACAGAGGCAAATCATTTATAGCAAAGAAAAAAGAGTTGTGCTTAAAACACATCCCTGAGAGACACCTTCAGCTTGACGAAGTCCCGGGAAAAACATTAATGACTCGAACACGGAAATGTCTGTCAGTTAAAATTTCTTAAGGAGGATGGTATATTGCCTCGAGGCCAAAGGAATGGCCTGGGCCCAATATTATACACCTAGTTGTGTCATTGCCTTTTCAAGGCCAAAAAATAAGCAATAACTGAGTGATTAATCGCAAAGGGCATTACGAACATACGTATCTAAGCGTAGTAAGGGGTCTATGTAGAACGACCCTACAAAGCCATAATGACTAGCGGAGCGAACTGTTTGTCTCTCTAAATACCACATTAAACATCGATTTACAACATTCCATCACTTTGCACACTGCTCTAAGTAAGAGCGATGGGACCGATAGTGGGAGGCATCATGTCCTTGTAGTACCCGGTTTGCGGAAAGGGAGAACAATGGCAGATTTCACAGCTGCGGAAGAACACTTGATGCCAAATAAGAATTGAAGAGGTGTAGAGGACTAACAATGCTGACCGATGTAAATGCTGTAACATACGAAATGAAATTCCGCAGGCCCCCGCTGCCGAATGATCGGCAAGGCTGAGAGGCGTTGCCTCCAGTTCTAGAAGTGTAAAAGGCACATTATACGTTCTTCTCTGAAGAGAAAAGTCCTAGGGTACAAACTCTCTGGAAGACTTGTAGGAAAGAAAACGAGGGGCCATAGATGGAGCCTCGGAAAATACGGACCAGAATGTGTGCCAGTTTCAATGAACGTCGAGAGGGTTTGCGTACCTCAACCCCAGCGACCCGTAGAACAGGAGTCGTGACCATGAGAGTATGTGTATCCACCAATTTCCTCACTTTTTTCCAGACTGCACTCATAGAAGAAGCAGAGTTGATGGTGGAAACATAGTCTGCCAACAAATTGCGTTAGGCTTCACGGATGACACGGTGAGTGATCGCACGCTTCGGCTAAAATCAGAAGATCCCTCACGTTCTATTGTACCTGTACCTGCACCCATGCAGCACGTTTCAAACGTACCGCACGAGCACAAGCAGGAGAACCACCAAGGCACGCACTTCTGAGAGATGCCTGCCTGAGTTTTGGGGTAAGAATGAGAAGCTCGGTATAAACTGACCGTCGAGAAGATGTTAGGAGCTCATCAATGGAGGATGAAGAAGAACCACACTAAACGCGTGAGTTTGAGTAAAGATCCCAATTGCCCGATGAAATTGCCAGCGAGGGGCTTACGGAAAGTTGGTGAATTAGAGGAGAAGAAGAATGATTGGAAAAAGATCGCTTGTCATGTTAAGTCCGTTAAGAACAACCAGTTAAGTCTAGTGCAGTGGAGGAGAGCAGACTGATAGATCGATGCAAGAGAGAGTATGATACGAGGATCAATGGGTGGGAGGTAACCCGTATTTAGAAAACAGAGGAGGGTGGTATAGGCGAGAAAAAGCCTCCAGACGTGGAATGCCACGTGAGAGTCATCAATGATACCCCCCCCCCAGAGGAAAGGGAGGGCATTAAAATCACCAAATAACAGAAGTGGTGGTGGTAAGGAATGAAACAAGAAAGGCAATGTCTGGGGATAGAAAATGCTCGAGAAGGAGAGAGATTTAAAGAACATATTGTAACCACTTATCAATGGATACGGGCTGCAAAGTGTAATGCAGCGAGGTATGGATCAAATAGTTGACAGTACGGAATATCATTGCGTTAAAGAAGGCACTTACATTAAAGGTCCATCTGGAAAGGATTCGAAGAATCAATAAATTATAGCCTGAGATAGGTTGGGAAGACAGCGAGTGTAATTTGGATCATGTAAGCAAGCACCAACAGGGAAAAACCTGGAAAGCAACATCTGAAGCTCACCCCGATTACCCCGAGGCCGCGGATATACCACTGTAAATAGGCATGATTGGCGATGAAAAAATACCAGGAATCTGTATGTAAAGGCACCTACGGACTAGAGGGGTTAGAAAAGTCAACATGTGGTTGCATTGAAGAAGATCAAGTAGCGAAGAACGGAGCGTAGTGCGAAGAATGGGGCTGTGAAGATGGAGTTAGATTGGAAGATAATGAACAGAAGTGAATCAGTGTCCTTGAAGGATTAGTCAACTGCAAAATATTTCCTGAAATGGCTTCAAGTGTATCTGAATTCAAAGATGTATGGGGAGAACCATATGGAGATGGAAGGATGAGGTGAGTAAATGAATGGGACAGTAATGACTGTACCAAAGTAAGGGGGACGGGAGAGTGTAAGAAACAGGAGATGAAGTGATTGGGGGGGGGACCCGAGAGCAGAAACCTGGTAGGTGGCAGAAGAGGATAAACTTGGAGGTGACAGGTGGAAGCATAGTACGAGGAGGAGGGTGAATCTCCACACTTGTAATAGAGCCGAGAGAGGGAAAACTAGGTACAGAGACTGGAAAGGTAAAGTGTGGAGTGTGAGGAAGAAGGAAGGAAGGGGCAAAGAAGATTTAAGCATATATGATTTTTTGGACTTCTGAGAAGTAAGGGGCGATTGGTATTAGGTGTCCGTACGAGGTCTTGACGATACTGCGGGCTTGTGAGGAAGACGCGAAAGATGGGAGAACATACTGAGTTTTAGTCGGACGTCAGAGCCAAAGAACAGCAAAAAGATTAGAAGCCGGAGTGCTATGGGAGGGGAAACACAGAGAGGCTGCAGAAGATGGGACCCCAGAAGTGGGGGATGATTGGAAACACAAGAAATAGAAACAACCCCCGGAGTAGTCTCCCTGTAGGCCGTGTAGATGGATAACTGCCATAGCATAAGGGAGACGCTTCTGCCTCTTTGAGGCAACGGATTTCGACGTTCATTAAAGAATCCTGGCAACGGCGGGAGTACGAAGGGTGAGCATCATATACAATTAAGGCGAAAGGAGGGTTTGACTGCAAGATGTATTAGAATGTATCTCGCACCACATACAGGGCATTCGGCCAAGATCGCAATATTTCGCGGTGATCAAAACGCCAGGCATTTCTACATTGTTGCGGTGTAGGTATCACCTTTCGAACTTGAACCTATGTAACCACGACATATACAGAGGACGGGATGTTTTCTCGGCTGTCAAAAGTTAAACGATCCACATAGCAAGGTAACGCTACAATGCCGCCCCCGGGCAGAAGGACATAAGTGATCTACTTTGAGGATTGGAGATCCTTGAGTTCAGCTGTTCAAAATTATCATTTGCCACATGACTGGAAATTCTGTTGGACAATGGTATGGGGCAGAATGACATACCACTAACGAAGAATTGAGAGAAAGATGTTTTCAATAGTTGCTAGGAGTAGTAACTAATATATGAAGGGGAGAAAGATCATGACTTGGGTACATTCTGGAAAGTGAATGAAGCACGAACCACCTCTTGAAGAGCATGAAATGAAATATCTCTACAATCAATGACTGCAGGCGCTCTTGCCAATACTATGGCAGATAAGGTAGGCAGAAGAAGAAGACGGGTCTTAAAGTAAATAATTTAGACCATTGAGGTGGACCGAAACTGAGCGTGAGAGGAGTGCTTAGACGTGTCGGTCTTTCCGAGTAGAATGGGAAGGTAACGCAGGAGCATCATCAGGAGAATTAACGTTGTGGCGTTTAGGAGTAGGAACCGGAGTTGGACCGGCGTGAAATGAAGGCGGGCGAATCGAAAATGCGTACGTAGAGGAGAGAAGCCGGAAGCAAAGTCAAAGGAGAGCAAGTTCAGACAAATCGAAGAGTCAGTCGAAAGCCCCGGTACTGAAGCGGGTGAGGAACGGCACCAGCAAGAGGTACAGGGCATCCGGATTGTCCGAAGAGTGGTCTAAAACAAGGCATGGTCAGAATGGGGTGCGGTATCAAGAGTGCCGTGTTAGTTGGGTTCATGTATTGGGTTCACCAAGGTTAGGTTACTCCTTTGCTTTTGGTTTTTAAGAAAAAAAAAGAAAGACAAGAAAATAAAAATAAAAAAAAGAAAAAAAAAAGGGGGGAGCGGAGGAATAGTTCCCAGGCGGAATGAAAGGGCGGAAATCTCCCTCCGCGCCCAAGAGACCTCAGCACCGCTAGCAGGCGGCAGATGCAGCATGGAACCCGTGCCGGCCATTACCCACCCTTCATGCCAGTAAACCAGCATCCGGTATGCAACCTCACATCGGGCCGAGCTACCTCAGTGACAAAAGAGAGGGCGGCCCGGATATCCCCACAAATGCAAACCTCCTTCGTCCACCACCCCCAGAATCCGAAGGTGGCTCCATAGATACACCCGTCGCCCGAAGAACACGCCAAAGCTACTCCGGGATACCGGAAGGGATCCGGGACATCCCCAGGCAATCCAGATCCACGGCAAACTACGCCACCGCCAGAACCTCAACGGAATGGATGGACCCCCCCCGGTGTCCTTTTCCCCTACCTATGAACACGTGCCTGTTGGGAGAAATCCAAAGCAAATAAGAGGAAGGGCAAAAGGAGGGGTGGGTGAGGAAGGAGGAGGAGGAATGGAAAAAGGGGGTTATTGTGAGAATGTGGGGGTTAATTAGGTTCGTGCTGAGGTAAGAAGACCGACAGGCTAATTCCTCAGACCAAGAGCCTCTTCCACCACGCTAACATTATTGAAACAAAGTTGCAATTAGCCTTTCTAAATTCACTTGGACATTACTCACATAGACAATACAATTAGTACTTATATGAGGCAAACAATGCTGCAGCCAAGCCTGGAGATTTTCAAATATAATTGTCTAAAGAACTGCTGCAAACTTGCTCACAATATGTGGTGCAGAGAAAAGTGTGGGGAGGTCACCAAAGGTATACCTCAAGAGGACCAGGGAGGTTTGGGTATTTAGAGGATAAAGTGTATAGTTAGATGAAGAGGGTGGAAGAAAGAAAGCAGTTGTTGTCCCAGGAATGATTGGAAGCACTAAACTCATAGGGATTATACAGCACCTGTGGCTAAACTTGAGTCCTGGAAGAGGGAAGGTCAATGCATACAATGCCTAATGTTTGGGGGTTTTACCTGGGGTTGCTGTTGATAAGATCACAGTAGAGGCTGATCTGGCTGTTTACATGTTTTCTCACCACAAGACAGACTGTGGTTATACATTTTACAAGGTAGAAGCAACCAAGGCTGCATTTATTAAGAGGCATAATTATTACTGACAACTTAAGCAAAATGATTTTCCGTGGTGCCTTGACAGATGCCACTCAAAAATGAGCATTTTAATATCATGAAAGCAGAAACAGGTGACCAAACTAACAAAAACAATGCATATTTAATGTATATCGCTCACATTGATACATATTTACAAAAATATATACATAAATACAATGATTATAAAAAAACTAACATGCTATACACTATATATACATAATATAAACACTTACTAAATAGTGAAGTTGAGGACAACTGTATTGTACACATCTTTGAAGGTCATCTATTATAGTCATAAAGTGCCAAACAAACATGGTGCAGCTTTGTTACATTCCATTTACTTAAACAGTTAAACTTTTGATATATGAGAAAAGTATCAAGTAATGGATATAAAAATAAATACTGTACATAAAAGTTGCACCCAAATTTCGAAGGTATACAAAATAGTGGTCTTTTTACAAACCTTTTAAAATATTATAGTCTAAAATGAACATTGTCAGAACCAATGTTCCCTTTAATGATATGCAACCATTAATGAAGACCCGTCCAGTAATTATTAGACCGTGGTTAGTCATTCTCAGTGATGGTCGCTTTAGTGTCTTTTTTTTATATTTGGTAGTTTAATTATTTCTTCCTGTATATATGCATTCAACTTCTTACATACCTATTATAACTATTAATGCCACATACAGGTCGAGTATCCCTTATCCGAAATGCTTGGGGCCGGAAATGTCTCAAGATTTTGGAATAAGATAAAGCTTGGGGATAGGACCAAATATTTCATATACATATAGCTTATGCACATAGACTGAAGGTAGTTTTGTAATTATTTTTAATAAAAGAAGCACAGCAGAATTAGCAGACTACCAGCATCAGCTGTTAAAAAATAAAGGCAGGCTGGCTTTCAGCCTCCACCTACAATGCTGTGTTTTTATTAAAAGACTACTGTACACTATTTTTTCTTATCACTTACCCATAGGGGCAACTGCAGGCCTTTGACATTTTTAACAATATCTTCCCACCACAGAAGAAAATACACACAGTAACCACGGTGAGTAATACATGTAGGTCTGGCAATGACTACTGCTGATAAACTGGCACTAACAGAGCCCCATCCAGAGTATGTGAGGTCACATATCAACTGTCTGGGTACGCACAATGCCTGGGAACCTCCACAGAGTCGACTAAAATTTTCTATTTGTAGTGACACATTGGTGCTCAAAAACTTTTTATATTTCTTTTTTTTGAATTTTGGATTAGGGATACTCAGATGCTACCAGTAATACATATGGCACTGATACTTGTGCACATACATTCAATCCACACAAAGAACAGGAGTTATATAAATGTCTTAATAATAGGGGTACTTTATAATCTGATTGGTGAATCATCCATATGTACCAATTTGTGATTTGTATTACAAAAACTGCTAATGCAACTGATATAATACAAAACAAAATCTGTGCTGGGATGGTAACAAATAGTATTTAGCATCCTTTCAACAATGAACATGTATAGAAAGGGATTTACATGTTATTTAGGACAACACCCCCCCCCCCCAAAAAAAAAAAAAAAAAAAAAAAAAAAAAATTCTATGATGAATCCAGAGAGAGCAATGACACTTTACTATTCCTTTAACCTTTTCAGGGTCCAAACCCCTAATCTGAAACTTGTCCATAGGGTCCAAGACTTTTCAAAAAAAAAATTTGTTATTTCTTATAAAATGGTACAGGATTTTTTTCTGATGGTAATAAAACAAAAAGTACGAAATCTGATGGAAAACTGAGTAAATTACACTCAAATTTTGCTGTCAGCGATATTTACGCATCAATGACTTACGTCCTATTTTAGGTCATTACACTGTTCCAATCAACCAAATTCTTAACTATTTTCCTAGTATGCCTTTATTTTATTGACTGAGCACAAGAAACTGCCCAATCAACTATTTCAACTACCCAATGAAGTGATCAGAAATTGGTAGTTTGGCCAATTTCACACAAATTTCAAAACAGGGTCCAGAATAAATAAAGCAGGCATTTCTGACACTAAAATAACATTTCCTTTATTCTTTAGTTATGTTTCCAGGCTTTACACATGAATTCCATTTTGATTTTGTATTCACACACACACACAAAATGATGATTTACTGTTATGCAATAATTATGTAAATAATATCAGCATATTCATGAACACATATTAGACCCACCAGTTGATGTGTATTGGATGCTTGATGTGATTCGTTTATTTTTGAACATCGGCAAAAATCGAAGTTCCATTACTTTGAGCTTAATTCTAAGCTATTTTTAATCCTATAACCAAAGTCATCTCCATGTATCTTCTATCTAACGAGACAAAAAACCATGAATACAACTGTAAGAACTACTATATGAAAATACACCGCAGTAGCAGTTTTAAACCAAAAACATGGTTGTAGTTTTTTCTCATTATGCCTGTGTGCTGCAGGATTTTTTTGTATGGTGCACACTTACCCCATAGACCCATTCTCTCATATCTAGGCCCAAATTTACCACTCACAGCTTATCTGAGCTGAGCTGAGCTCATCACGTGGTACTACGGCACGGACTCTGACTTTAAACCCGTAGAACAATGATGCAGACCCTGAAGTGGTTAATAAACTTTATACAGTATACTGTATATATTGCAGTTAGCACTTTGACCCTTTCCAGTTTTAAGATTTTCCATGAATACTGTAGTGTATAACAATACAGTAATAATAAATATAGCAGGCTAAAACACATTACACTAATATTGTATTACACTGAGCTCTTTGGAAAATATTTAAGGTAAAGTTACATTTTACTGCAAACCAGATGACCAGATATCCTGTTAGTGGAATGTTAAACAGGTTGTGATTTTCCAAATTTTTTATAATAATGAGCCTGATTGGTGCTTGTAGCTAACATTAACCCATCATTCTTAAATAAAAAAAGGCAAATTACTGTCACTAAATGAAAAAACCAACATGAATTCTACAATTCAATATTATATCCATATGTGGATCATAAGGCATACACTAAGTCCATAAACATACTACATAAGGCCACAGGCCTACAATATATGCTTACAGGCATACAATGTAGTCACAGGCAAAAAAAAAATCATTTGAACCATAGATGGGAGAAATGGCCCCATAATGAATACCCATTATCTCGGGTCTATGGATTAACAGTGATATGAGAGCGAGAGGACTGACATCCCAATAAGCCACTGAAGAAAAACTTTACCTGAGAGATATCAGCTAACAATCTTCCCTACAAATTTGCATGGGGGAGGGGGTTACATTCTTAAGAGGTCCCACAATACTGAAAACCACAAACTAACCTGTCCTGAAAAATATATTTTATCTTTTATGCATGTAATGTATAGGAGGGTGGGTGAAGGAGGAAAGAGGAGTGATTGGTGGAATGATGAAGTAAAGGGTGTGATAAGAGAGAAAAAAGTAGCTTATGAGAGGTTTTTACAAAGCAGAAGTGTTGCAAGAAGAGCAGAGTATATGGAGAGTAAAAGAAAGGTGAAGAGAGTGGTGAGTGTGTTCAAAAGGAGAGCAGATGAAAGAGTGGGAGAGGCACTGGCAAGAAATTTTGCTGAAAATAAAAGAAAAATTTGGAGTGAGATAAACAAGGTAAGAAAGCCTAGAGAAATGAATGGATCTGTCAGCTAAAAAACAGAGTAGGGGATTTAGTAGATGGGAAGCTGGAGGTACTGGGTAGATGGCAGGAATATTTTGAGGAACTTTTAAATGTCAGTGATAAAAGAGAGGCGGTAATTTCATACACTGGTCAGGGAGGTATAACATCTTTTAGGAGTGAAGAGCAGGATGTGAATGTGGGGGAGGTGCACGAGGCATTACGTAGAATGAAAGAGGGTAAAGCAGCAGGAATTGACGGGATCATGACAGAATGTTAAAACTGGGGGGATAGTGTTGGAGTGGTTGGTATTTTTGTTTAATAAATGTTTAATAACCTAGGGATTGGCAGAGATCGTGTAAAGATCCTTTATATAAAAGGAAGGGGGACAAAAGAGACTAAAAATTATAGGGGAATAAATTTACTGAGTATACCATGTAAAGTGTACGGGAGGGTTATTATTGCAAGAATTAAAGGCAAGACAGACTAGGATTGTAGATGAGCAAGGAGGGTTTCGAGTGGGTAGGGGATGTGTAGATCAAGTGTTTACATTGAAGCATATATGTGAACAGTATTTAGATAAAGGTAGGGAAGTTTTCATTGCATTTATGGATTTAGAAAATGCATATGATAAGAGTGGATAGGGGAGCAATGTGGCAGATGTTGAAAGTGTATGGAATAGGTAGTAAGTTACTAAATGCTGTAAGGAGTTTTTTTGAGGATAGCGAGGCTCAGGTTAGAGTGTGTAGGAGAAAGGGAGATTACTTTTCCGGTAAAAGTAGGTCTTAGACAGGGATGTGTAATGTCACCATGGTTGTTTAATATATGCTAGGGTGTTGGGGAGAGGAGTAGGATTAAATTATGGGAAATCAAGTACAAAATGGGAGTTGACACAGTTACTTTTTGCTGATGATACTGTGCTTATGGGAGATTCTAAAAAAAAGTGGCAAAGGTTAGTAGACGAGTTTGGGAGGGTGTGTAAAGGTAGAAAGTTGAAAGTGAACATAGATAAGAGTAAGGTGATGAGGGTATCAAATGATTTAGATAAAGAAAAATTGGATATCACACTGGAGAGAGGTAGTATGGAAGAAGCGAAAGTTTTCAGATACAGTATTTGGAAGTTGACTTTTCAGCGGATGGGATTATGAAGGATAAGGTTAACCATAAAACTGATGAAGGAAAAAAGGCAAGTGGTGCATTGAGGTATCTGTGGAGACAAAAAAAACATTATCTATGGAGGCAAAGAAGGGAATGTATGAAAGTATAGTGGTACCAACACTCTTATATGGGTGTGAAGCTTGGGTTGTAAATGCTGCAGCGAGGAGGCAGTGGAGATGTCCTGTCTAAGGGCAATGTGTGGTGTAAATATTATGCAGAGAATTCAGTGTGTGGAAATTAGGAGAAGGTGTGGAGTTACTAAAAGTATTAGTCAGAGGGCTGAAGAGGGGTTGAGGTGGTTTGGTCATTTAGATGGCCTGGTGGCTAAAGCTCTTGTTTCACACATGGAGGGCCTGGGTTCGATTTCCAGCGGGTGGAAACATTTCGATGCGTTTCCTTACACCTGTTGTCCTGTTCACCTAGCAGCAAATAGGTACCTGGGTGTTAGTTGACTGATGTGGGTCGCATCCTGGGGGACAAGATTGAGAACCCCAATGGAAATAAGTTAGACAGTCCTCAATGACGCACGGACTTTCTTGGGTTATCCTGGGTGGTTAACCCTCCGGGATTAAAATCCGAAGAAAATCTTATCTTAGAATGGATCAAAGTAGAATAACTTAGAGAGCGTATAAATCTATAGGGAAAGAAAGGAGGGGTAGGGATCGTCCTCGAAAAGGTTGGAGGGAGGGGGTAAAGGAGGTTTTGTGGGTAAGGGGCTTGGACTTCCAGCACGCGTGTGTGAGCGTCTTAGATAGGAGTAAATGGAGACGAATGGTTTTTGGGACTTGAAGAGCTGTTGGAGTGTGAGCAGGGCAATATTTAGTGAAGGGATTCAGGGAAACCAGTTATTATAGATTTAGCCAGACTTGAGTCCTGCAAATAGGAAGTACAATGCATGCACTTTAAAGGAGGGGGTCTGGGATATTTACAGTTTGGAGGGACTTCTAAACTGTCATATCTGAGTGCCTCTGCAAAGACAGTGATTATGTATGAGTGAGGTGAAAGTGTTGAATGATGATGAAAGTATTTTCTTTCTTTTTGGGTCACCCTGCCTTGGTGGGAGATGGCCAACTTGTTGGAAAAAAAAAAAAAAAAAACTAAGGCTGGAAGTTTCAATTTCCTTGAATAAATTAAGCCTATAGAGGAGAGAGACTAGTCCCTCATAGGAACATTCAGTCGCAGAGTCCTGACATCTGGCCACACTGAGGAAGTAGACTTATAACTGAGATAATCAGGAGAATAGCACATACAAAAGGAGACCACAGTCATGAGAAGGATCTTTGAAGGAAAACAGCAAGCTGAATTTAGTTGGGGTGAACTACACAAGACACAATGACCCTATAAACCTTTAGTGTTTTGTAAATCCTACACACTTGGCTTGAGAGCAACTTGCAGACAAAGTAAAGAACCTGTGAGTAGACTTCATCCCTAACCTCTCCCGCTGAAATTACACAATCAGAATAATATCAACAGTACAGCCCACACTTGCACACTGACGAATATTCTGCAGGAACCTGAACAAGGAAACGCTGAATACACTATTGTCATGTTCATCTGTAAATCTGGTTCTTATTATTATTATTGGTGTAATCAAATAAAGCACTAAGCTGAAAAGAGTCATAGCACTGCTGGAAATTTGGTATCCATTTAATTATTAATGCTAAATTTGTGTTATGATAGCAAGTGACCTGTCGGATGAGAGATAATGACCAGGCCCTTTGCGAGAACCAATATTACCGTACCATTTTTATATTGTATGATAGGCCTGACATTCAATGAACTGGAGGAAATGTTTGATACTCTCCCTTACACTCTCTACATTATGAACAAAAGTAGGACTTAACTCACCCTCTTACATTTCCCAACACCTCCACCCACATGTACATGCATACATGCATGCATATATGCTCACTCAGAGGTCAGTTTACCTTTTTTTTTGCCATCTCCTAGGTAAAATTGAGAGGTGGTAGTTGTCCCAAGTAACAGAGCCTCACACACAACTAACACAGTAATTTTTGGGACTTCAAATTACTGAGCACTGCCTTCTGTCTACAGCCACTGTCTACAGTCCACTGTCTACAGCCACTGTCTACAGTCCACTGTGTGGACTTGTGTATTGACTTTTTCCTCTGAGAGAAAGGGTTATCACTCGGGTGTGGGTTCTAGTATGGAACCCACACCTACACCTGAGCAAATATGTTAAGGAACTGAAGGAAGTTCAAAAATATGAACCTAGACTAGTTCCAGAGCTAAGGGGTATGACCTACAAAGATAGGCTAAAGGGACTGAATAACAACCTTGGAGGGCAGGAGGACCAGGGATGACATAACATACAAAATACTCGGAGCAACTGATAGGGCAGGCAGGGACAGGCGATTGGCGAGGCAGGACACAGGTACTTGGGGGCACAGCTGTTAGTTAAAAACACAGATGAGTAACAGGGATATCAGGAAGTATTTCTTCAATCTCTAGGTGGTTGGGAAGTGGAACATCCTCAACAAAGAAGGGGGTGGAAGCAAACTTTATCCATACATAGTTTTAAGAACAAGCCGGGAGAGAATGAATCTGCCAAGCAGCAAGTTGAAAGACAGGGCCAGGAGCTGGACTTAACCCCTACAAGTACATTGCCTTGTGTGACTACATAATAAGGATGTCTAGTTTGGGCTCAGTCTCAGGAAAGAGCCTCTGCATACTTATTGAGTGGACTTGGTATTTGCCTAGCTTCGTGGACTCTGCCTGTGCTAGGATTGGAATATCTCTGACTGCCTTGCTGATGAGTACACATTGTACTGTGAACTTGTCTTGACTAAATGGTTGCTGCATGTATATGCACTGTGTGGACTCTGGTTATATACTAGTCAGTTGTACACTTTGATAATTATTTTTTAAGATTTTTTGTGTGATGTATCTTTTATATCTAAGTAGTAGGTTGGTAGACAGCAACCACCCAGGGAGGTACTACCATCCTGCCAAGTGAGTGTAAAACGAAAGCCTGTAATTGTTTTACATGATAGTAGGATTGCTGGTGTCCATTTTTCTGTTTCGTGAACATGCAAGGTCTCAGGTACGTCTTGCTACTTCTACTTACACTTAGGTCACACTACATATACATGTACAAGCATATATATACACACCCCTCTGGGTTTTCTTCTATTTTCTTACTAGTTCTTGTTCTTGTTTATTTCCTCTTATCTCCATGGGGAAGTGGAACAGAATTCTTCCTCCATAAACTATGCGTGTTGTACGAGGCGACTAAAATGCCAGGAGCAAGGGGCTAGTAACCCCTTCTCCTGTATAAATTACTAAATTTAAAAAGAGAAACTTACGTTTTTCTTTTTGGGCCACCCCGCCTCGGTGGGATACAGCCGGTTTGTTGAAAGAAAGAAGAAAGTATCTTTTATATGATAAAGTAGTGAATCTAAAATGGTTATTAATTGTTGGCTGATCAGCTTAAATTTGGCATCCAGACTGATACTTATATAATACAGTATTACCTCATTTACAGTGACTACTATTCCTCATGCAGATTGTAAATATATTTGTAAATCTTCATTCAATAAATAAGTGCATAATGCACTTCTTTGATAAAGTCAGACTGATTAGAAGTGACATTTTCAGTTTATAACCGAGACATTTGCCTACAATGGACCAAGTTTTGGAAGCAGAGGCAAGCATGTCTCAAGCAAGCACCACATGCATAATGCCAACCGTCAAGTATATAACATCACTATGTTATGTGCATCTACCAAAATCATTCAAAACACACTATCTCATGAGAGACCCATTCCTGAGTATGCAGCGGTGTGGAACCCCCTGCCTAGTAAAGCACAAAGTGACACATGAAAGAGTGCAAAGAAGAGCATAGATACTAGTGCCTGAGCCGAGGGGAATGAGCTACGAAAAAAGAATGCAAGAACTAGGTATAATGTCACTGGAGGAACAAATTACAGGGGGTGCATAGTTGGAAATTACATGTCCAAATGAGCCACAGGAAAATTAGGAAATAATTCAACATTAGTGGAAGGAGATAAGCAATGACACAGTGACAGGGTAGCTATGTGAGGGGTTCAAAAATTATACAGTTAAGAGGTGAGATCAGACTGATGCTGGAGCCAAGAGGAAGAGCTAAAATGAAAGACAACTTTACTTCACAATTATCAAGGAATGAAAATCGACACTAAATTTGATATAATGACGTGCTAAATACTCTGGGGAAACAGTAGACAATGATAAGCTAGTTGAAAAGGATGGGTCCAGGATGAGTAGACAGAGACAACTCGAATGAGCCATAATTAAAATAATTTACAGTGTAATTGTAGTAAGAAGTCGAAAAAACTGGGAAAGAGTACAAAACAAGTTGACTATATTCAGATTTAAATGGAAACCATGACAGAGCTATGGCACATCAACAATTCAAAAGTTAAGATATAGGCTTATGAGCTGGAGCTTAACCCAAACTCAGCTAAACACAGAAATATGGTTTCAGAAAAAAAAAATTAACATAAAAATGAAACGTATTCATCATTAAAGCTATTGTACTTTACATAACAATATTAATTAAATAATAAAAAAATTTTTTTAAAGAAGGCAAAATAATAACTAATTCAATCAAGTAACTTCACACTTGAGAAAAATGCATAGGCATTGGCCCTTGCAGTATGAGGGGCAATTGTGGTAAATCTGTAGGTTGTTGAGATAATGGTCGTGGTTGTTTAGGATTCTGAGCAGCTTGATGCTGACCATTTCTGGACTTCACAATGTTCACCATCTGGTTGGGAGGATGATAAATATGGCCATCTTTTTTCCTCAAAGCTTGACGATGACCACACAATCCCTGGAAGAATTTCCGCCACAACATTACCTGAAACCGTACTAACATTAGCTAATAACATTTCATAATGCATATACTGTACAGTATAAAATAAGATACCAATTTGGAGAAAGTATAAATTTTACAGTGAAAATTTCTTTGTGATCTATTGAATATAAATGGAAAGATAATTTTCTTTTTATAAACACACTAACCATCCCCTACCAAGGTAAGCTGACCCAAAAGAGAAGAAACACTTACACCATCATTCACTCCATGCACAAATGTTATAGCTCTAATGCCCCTCCACAAACTATATCCAACTCCGTCCTTCAGTGTGCCGGCACTGTACTTCCTACCCCCAGGACTCTGGCTAACCTGACATGATATAAATGTTTATATTGTTGTGCATATTTTGTTTTTGTGGGTTTTAAAATCTGTATTTCTGATAAACCAGCCACTAGCTTTGTTGAAAGTCCATCACACTTCAAAGTGGTGATACACATTCTAAACATTTCTTGCCACTGTTTTTTTTGCTTCTTGGCACTAAAAAATCTCTTCTGACTGTCTAGTTGTGACTGCCATACTTAATTTGACAATCACATGAATTTACTCATCTCATCCCTTCAAATGGAATGAAGAACAGTTTTTCATAGCACTGTGTCTTATTTATTGAACTTTAACACACTTTCTGAGCAAAAACATTTCCCTTCATAACTGGAAATGCCCCATATTTGTATTTCCGATTTGCTGCAATTTACAGGGTTTAGGTTAATTTTCATCAGAGAGATACTGATTTATTTATTCCTGGATTATATCTGTGGGTGACGAGAAACACTACTACAGTGGACCCCCGCATAACGATCACCTCCGAATGCGACCAATTATGTAAGTGTATTTATGTAAGTGCATTTGTACGTGTATGTTTGGGGGTCTGAAATGGACTAATCTACTTCACAATATTCCTTATGGGAACAAATTCGGTCAGTACTGGCACCTGAACATACTTCTGGAGTGAAAAAATATCGTTAACCGGGGGTCCACTGTATTCTCTTGTACTTCATTTACATAATTTATTTTTTGTGCTGTGTCTGCAGTCACATCTCTTTCATATTCCTATTGTGTGTGTTACCCCTCTGGGTTCATTCACATTTTCTTTACATTTGATTTGGGTCTGTATCAGCTTGATTTTGTCTTTGTTTAAGTTTTTTTTTTCCCCAGGTCAGACACTTCGTATAGTAGAGATGCAGGTCCACATATTTGTAGCTTTTACTTTCCACCTCAAAAACTCAAGTTCTGTTAATTGATTTCCCTTAATACCTTCACAAATATTACCTTGCTCACACTCCAACAGCACATGAAAGCATATAAACCATTTCCCTCTACTCAGTTTGATCTAATACACTTGTACAAGCCTGCTGGATGCTCAAATCCCTAGTGCTCAAAACCTCTTTATCCCTCTCTCTCCAACCCTTCTTGGGATGATTCTGATGCTGCCCTCCTACCCCATCCTCTCTAAATGCCCATACCATCCCAAGAACCCCTCCTCAGCTCTATGGATTATATCTTCAGTATAATAAACTGTTTTCTAATTTCTGCACTCAGAATTTCCTGCATTATATTCACACAACACATTACTCTCAAACATGGCATCTCCACCACCTTTAGCCTCCTCTCTTATCATGAAAACCTGTGTCTTGCACCACATGAAAGTGTTGGTATGACCACATGCCACTTTTCAAGCTCGTAAATAAACTTTTTTATTATTAGTTTATAGACAAGGCACTGTGTGGTAGAAAAGAATAAGCTCCAAATTAAAATTCTGTAGAAAAATAGACTTGAGAATGGAGCTATGAAACTTTAGTTACCATACTTTGTTACAGGGCTCTGAACTTGCAAAAGACTATCTACACATTCCCACAAACAGAAGATTCATTCACTAGCCCAGATTCTGGCATTGGTTGCACTTATTCTTTACTGCAGTGCAACTCCTTGTATACAATATCCAAAGCTAGTCATGTAAAATTAAATATCTTAGTTTTTCTATTTATATCTTAAGTTAAATATGGCATTTCTTACACATTATTCATGATACAGCATGACTTATATAGGACTAGTTGCTTTATTGAGAATAAAACTTATTGGTGTAAAATTCAGATTTTTAAAATATATACTTACCGTTTTTGATGACCAGATCCACATGCCTGACGTGATGCCTACTACTAGTGACATGAAGATTTTTAACATGAAGATCTCCACAGATGGTATACTCTCCTCCAGTGTACATTCTGCCCATGAAATATACTGGTGAATATTATTATTCACAAAAAATAACATATCTGGAACAAATGATACATTTAAAAATAATCTGCCAGGACAGATAATGAAGAATATGAAAAAATATGGACAACATCTGCTTAGATGAATAAGAAACCAAGTTTTAAGACTAGGTAAATATGAAGACGGTAAAATATGAACGCTGAGAAACATCTTTTAAGTACTTTTTCCTACTCTTTTTTTTTCTTCCTCTAGCTGTACTTTTTCTCCACTCTGTGTCCTGTCACACTGGGAATTTTGTAACCTTGTTTCTAGCTTTGCTACTCTGTCTACCAATATTCACAATAATTCTCCTGTTAAATATAGTTGCTTATTGCTCTTAACACTAAGAATATACAAAGGTGATCAGGCCAAAGACTTATGTGTATCCTACTTTCTCATCCCATTTTCAATGTAGATAACAAAAAAGAAAAAACTCTGAAAACCACATCAGCATTATAACTTATAATGCTACTCAAAGATTATCACTCAGCTGAAATATGGAAGATCCTGTAAAGGTGATTACAGCATACAGCTAAAGAAAATATCAGTCTTTACAACAGTCTACAGTATATCATTTATCATTACTGGATCATATTTTCCTACTAAAAGTATAGTTGAGTAGTGATGTCCCAGACAGTTCAATATTTTTTTTCTGAATAGAGACGAATCATTTTTTGGACTTGACGAGCTGTTGGAGTGCATGCAGAATAATATTTTGTGAAGGGATTCAGGGAAACCAGCTAGCTGGACCTGAGTCCTAGAGGTGGGAAGTACAATATGTACTTGCACTTTAAAGGAAGGGGGGGATATTTGCTGTTTAGAGTGACAAAACTGAACTGTTGTATCTGTGAGCCTCCGCAAAGACAGTGATTGCGTGTGAATGATGGTGAAAGTTTCTTGTTTTTTGCATCACTCTGCCTCAGTATGAGACGACTGACGTGTCAAAAAAAAAAAAAAAAAAAAAAAAAAAAAAAAAAAAAAAAAAAAAAAAAAAAAAAAATCTTTGCAAATATCCTTACCATATCCAAAAGTATACAGGAGGGCCACACTCACCTGCACTTCCACTAATACCACGATGATACTGCTGGTGTGCAAGTCCCCCTCTGTGCAATCCTGCACCACACTGCAAAGCTGCAACTGATGCCATCATTCGCCACTGCTGACGGCTGAGGTATTCATATACATTGCAGGCAATAACACACACAGCAGGAACAGTGTAGAGGACAGAGAAGATGCCAATGCGTACCATGAGTTTCTCTAGTTTACTAACATTTGTTGCTACTTGATAAGATTTGGCAGCTAAGGTCAAACTAGTTCCTGCACAGGAATTAAGGGAAAATTTTAAGTATATGTAGTACTAAGAAATCTTAAAAATTATGATGAAATATTACTATGTAAGTTTAGAAAAGTACAGAGCATCTTAGAAGCAGTGTACCTGAAACTGTAAGCAAAATGAATTGTAAATTGATACAGCAGTGTGAAATGCAAGAAAATTGAATACTGTGTATCACGTGGATGTTTACACACACACGATAAATATAAGAAGAATACAAGAGATTAACCCGAGTGAAAATTATGTGGGGATAGTGAGAGATCAAGTCAGTGTGTACACATGAATTTCCAAAAGATGACACAGAAGTTACTAGGTAAGATAAAAGATGTTCAAATGTACGATTAAATCAGAGGGTAGGTCGAAAAGTCTGTGTCCAGTGCTTTTCCTGTCCAAAATATAACTGCAGCCCCAATCTTTTTCCAAGCAATCTCTATCTGTTAACCCTTTGAGGGTCGACAGGCCCTCTCCGAGACTCGTTCTCAGGGTCGGCCAAATTTAAAAAAAAAAAAAAAATAATTTTCTCTTATGAAAAGATAGAGAATCTTTTCCCGATCATAATGACACCAAAAGTTTGAAATTTGATGGAAAACTTACGGAATTATGCTCTTGCGAAGTTAGTGGTCTCGGCGATGTTTATGCATCGGCGATTTTGCCCACTTTGAGCCCCATTTTCGGCCAATTCCACTGTACTAGTCAACAAAAAACATGGATATTTCGCTAGAACTCCATTTTTTCTATCGAGTGCAAGAAACCACCCATTTATCAGTTTCAACTATCCAGTACAGTGGTCAGAATTTAGCAATTTTGCCAATTTCCCACAAATTTCAGAAGATGCCAATTTCTGAATAGGGTCCAGAATAAACAAGAAAGACATTCCTGGCACTAAAATGACATTTCCTCTGTTCATTAGTCACGTCTCAAGGCCCCTCTTACATTCTTTTGCTTTCCACTTTGAATTTTTATTCTCATAAAAAATAGAAGATTTACTGTTATGCAGACTACTGCATTAGTGTAAAAAATGGTATAAATAATATTGACGCACTTGCGAAAGAATATTAGACTCACCAGTTGACGTGTATTGGACACACAGCATGATTTGTTCACTTTTGAACTTTGGTAAAAATCGAACATTTCTGCTACTTTGAGCTCAATTTCAAGGTACTTTTCATTTTAAAACCAGTCAAAATCATCTCTATTTCTGTAGTATGTCTTCCATTCTATAAAATGAGACCAAGAAAACTAGAATACAACAATAAATACCATGCGAAAATACAGTGCAAATTCGCTATTTTATTCCAAAAAAATGGTCAAAGTTTTTTTTTTCTCATTATGCACTGTGTGCTGCAGGATTTTTTTTATACTGCGCACACTGACCACATAGACCCATTCTTTCATATGTAGGCCTACCAGCTTTCTCCCACTAGATTTGAGGTCGCTATAATTTAGGCGTACTAGTACGTCAAAAACCCTGGGTCGTAAGCCGTACTAGTACGGCCGAAACCCTCGAAGGGTTAAAGCCTCTGATGAAGTTACTGAAAGGAGTTTTTCAACACACATGATGTGATGACAGCTATTTGTTGATGGCTACCAGAATTCTGTGCAAAATGAATGCACTGTGTTAACTGCCTCAAACTTGGCGACTGTGTCAAGGAACTAATGATCGACATTCAATGTGACTATGTTGTATTTTTGTCAAGAAAAGATAAGAGAAGCAAAGACTTTCCTAATGTAATTAATTATTACACTTGCACAAAACAAAATACGTATAGAGTAGAGTGCACTTGTGAGCATTCCATATAGCAAACGAAAGAAGGTCAAACTACAACCATTAGGGAGAATGGATATATCTGGGGCATGAATGTTATATCTAATATACTTAAAGAAAAGTTTAGTTACCTTCACTATTCTGGGAATTATTCACCTCGTTCTTGATTGCACGACGAATGCGGAAGAGTGCCACAAAGCCAAATGCAATGAATAGCGTACCAAAGGCCAAAAGTGAGGACAGTGGGGCCACTACAAAGCTCATATGGGCCCACTCGTGTACATTTCCAACATAACACAGACCAACAAGCTCATCTCCATCCACCTGGAAATAATTCTTCTGAATACAAGTGTCCCTTGTTCTATGCATTAGCTGCCTTCCAGGTTCACTGCAGCTGTATTAAGTTCAGGAAGGACAAAAGTATTTAATTCCATACAAGAATGTTAAACAAGTTTTACAAATTGCACTCATAGTACACGATGAATGTCAAAAGTATCACACATGCACACACGAAATTACTGATGGAACTGGAGGCATCGCATATTAACGAGAGCACCTAAATCAAACCTGCACAAAGCTAGGAGAAACCTATATATTATGCAAGCTACCATTTATGAAAAATTGCCACTTTTATTAAAAATAATCAGTGGATGATAAATAAGTTCATAATGTACAAGTTACTTAAGATGAAATTGGTAAAAAGATCTCTGCAGTTGGGCAACATTTTGATGAGGGGCTGTGATTTGGCAATTCATAATTGTATTCACAAATGCTGTCTTCAACAGAAAGGGGCATGTGCACAGATGGAATGCTATGGTCCTGCAGTAAGATTTCTCCTCACAAATTTCCTTTTTTTACTAATGAATTACCTTGAACTGCTCAGACAAGCATAATGATCCTCTGTAGGTAAAGGTTACAACTTCTTGGGCAATACATTTTTTCCACATTTCCTGTATTTCTTTACCTCTCATGCCACAGTCTTTAAAATTCACTCTAGAAGATAGCCATGATACCTGCATTGGTTAATACATCACACAATATCAACAAGCTGAACAAGAGGTATTAAAAGAATAGTGTAAGGTTAATCACTAACAACAGTACAACAGAGGCATGGTTTTACTGTACAGGAAGTGCTAATAAGTGTACAACCAATGGAAATGTTAAGCCTTAAGACAGAATAATCATGAAAACGAGAAACCTCAATTTTAGCTCTGCTCCTGTAGCTACAACCGAGTAATCACTATGAAGACTTAAAATGCATGATAGTTCTTGCCCACCTGCTTAAGAGTAAGGATGAGAATGGTAGAAACAGCAGGAAGACCCCAGGCAGCAGTGTGGAAATAAGAGGCATAAGCCTGCAGTGCCTCGGATGACCACTTCTTCCCTGCCGACAGGAACCAGGTCATTGTCAATACCATCCACCAGATACCTGATGCCATCCCAAAGTAATACTGAAATAGAAAATAAAATACAAATTTGATTAGGATGCGATCTATCAATTTCACTCTTCGCCAACTTTTTCACCCAGGGATTTGATTGTGGGTCACATTAAGTAAAATATGATTAAATTAAATGAAGCTTTAAAGTAAAAAAATTCTGCACTTAAGAATAGTCGAATTCTACCTTTGTGGAGAATCATCTTCCCTACTTTTGTGGAAGATAGTCAACCCTACTTTTGTAGGGTACTTTTATAGACTATGGACCATGTAACCTGTCAATACTTTGTACTAAATTCACAAGCCAAAACACCTCCAGAGCAATGCAAGTTTTTTAGTATTATTGTGTAGTTTGACTTCCTTAAATCTGCACAAAATAGATCTTTTCATAAAAAATTGTCTCATGTGCATGTTTCTTCAATAGATTATAATTATTATTACAAAACACTAAACCCATATGGTTCATTTAGTACTGATACATAGGTACTAGAAATTTACCTGTAGAATAAATGTGATGATGCATCCTGATGACTGAAGACCCTCCACAGCAAGATGAGATAAGCCATTCTGTGAGACCTCACAAGACAGTACCTCCACTGGAACCACCAACCTATAACATAACAATTACTTAATGGTTTGTTGGCCAATAAAACAATTTTAAATAAGAGCTCTTTGAGGGATATACAGTCTTACACAAATAACCCAAACTTATGACGACTTGGACCATTAACTGCTCACATTAAGTCGGACCGAATCGCTGTCACAAGTTTCGTTCTTCTATGTGGGTTATTTGTGTAATGTTCCAGTCAAGGCATTGTGCCTTTTTATTCTATATACAATGTTTTCAAGCAATTAACTAATTGCCTTCCCCTTTAAGGGTAAGGCAGACGTTTTAAAGCTGGTGAATATATGTAATACTACTGCGAAAATACACTATTTTCAGTTGCAAATTATCAACATAACTGTCAATTGGTGCTAATGAAGTCGCATTATCTGTCAACTTGTAAAGTTCATGTACAGTATATTATGTTTGTATACTATATTCTGTTATGCCAGAGTCAAGGTTTATTACTGTGCTATCCTATTGTTAATACTGCAATATAACCCATAGTATGACTGGCTAAAAAAAAAAAAAAAAAAAAAGGGATGGGGGATGGACTGAACACCGAGACTCAACACATTCTGTGTTGTGAAACCTTTATTTACCTCTATATTACAATAAAAGTAAACTACTGGATGAACCAGTACATCAAATTAATACAATATTCTCAGCCATAATATGAAGAAAATATGTAGTGCTTTCTGTGCAAACACTCAGACTTTTAAGTAGACTTGCCCAAACGTTCATTTGCCTATGAGGAAACAGGAACTCATCAGTAAACTCCGTGAAATTTCAGTTTAAAAATAAAAATAATATCTAGTATAAGAAATTTTACATTAAGACACTCGCTTGTTTCGGTACACAAGGATTGGTATGTCATCACTTAAAAAGTCCTATTTACACACCGGTTTTTAAAAGTGAATTATTAATTTATTGTGAGGCATTTTTGAGGAAGTAATCAAGGTTAACTTATGGAAAACAACACATATGGTACTTTACCAATATAAGCAATTACTCAGGTAACTCAAAGCTACTGTGCATATAAATCGTTAAAGAATGTGATAAGAAATCAGTAAGTGCAAGCAGCTTTACTAATTTATAATTGGTTTACTAGCTATAAAATCCTGACTACCAGAAGTACACAAGAGTGTGCCTACAATTAGTGAAAAGAGAATAGTCAATAATGAGAGGTCATTTAAAATCTTTTCAGCCATGCACACTTTTTTTTATTAGAATACATCACAGTGCCTGCACTAATGAAGGGATGAGGGTGTTGATTTCAGATCACCACCTGAACCATGAATGATGGTGAATGTATTTCTTCTTTATGACTTTTGAAACCATAATTGCAGACAAATCACAGAACAGGTGGTGCTACAAGTATTACAACTCACAGGACAGTGTGCTAACCACTGGGCCAGCTGGCTCTGATATGAGTCATCTAACTAGATGTATTTCCATACACCATAGGGAGGTTAGCATAGGCCCCACCTGAATTTGTCACAGTGGGGCCTGTGCTAACCTCTCTATGGTGTATGGAAATATACCTAGTTGAATGAAACCTATCAGAGCCAGCTGGTCCAGTGGTTAACACACTGGCCTGCGAGTTTTAGGATTTGCCTGCCATGGGTCTGAACCCCACTCATTCTGAGAGAATTTTTTTTTTTTTTTTTTTTGGGGGGGGGGGGATGGAAAATCACCCTATTTCAGTGGGATAGGATTAAAAAAAAAAAAAAGACCCCTTAGATATAGACCCCCCTGGTTTTAAAGGGGTCATTTAAGAAACTGAAGTTGTCCTCCCCTTCCTTGAATCATGCCTGATTACCTCCCATTCTCTAGAGTGTGTATGAACCTTCTGGGTTTACCAATAGAACTTTCCCATGGATATAATACTACAGCAGTAGGAATGCAAAAGATTAAGTAGTGAAAATCAGATGAAAAAATGGATACAGGACAAACTCACCTGGACAGGTAGGCAAGGCAGTAGAGGAGATAGCATAGTGACAAGCATATGATTGGTCTCTCTGGGTAGCGAAACCTGGCAGGCTCAAGCCAAAAGGTCAAGACAGTGAAGAGTGTCGACACAAAGCACAGACCTGCCCATACCAGCATCCATACCTGCACACACAAGTGCTAGTTATTAGTAGATTTTGTAACCAACAGTAATTAGCAATATTACATAAATATTCTTGATCAAGTTAAACTGCACCACCAATGCATGTACTATACATCTAGAATAAGGAAGACAGAAATGAAAGGACCCTAATTCCCAGATTAAACCAAGCCTTCTGAAATATACTGTACATGAGTACGAATTGTCTTTTGTATGCCAACATTACCAAAAATTACATGTAACGACAAATATACATCTGCTATGATGATTATTAGTATTTAAGTCTACTACTGCGATGCAGTAGGTTGGTAGACAGCAACCACCCAGGGAAGTACTACCGTCCTGCCAGATGACTGTGAAACAGAAACCTGTAACTGTTTTGCATGATGGTAGGATTGCTGGTGTCTTTTTCTGTCTCATAAACACGCTAGATAACAAGGATATCTTGCTACTCCAACTTAAACTTTGGTCACACTTCACAGACATGCACATGCATATATATATACATACATCTAGGTTTTTCTCCTTTTTCTACATAGCTCTTGTTCTTCTTTATTTCTTCTATTGTCCATGGGGAAGTGGAAAAGAATCTTTCCTCTGTAAGCCATGCGTGTCGTATGACGCGACTAAAATGCCGGGAGCAATGGGCTAGTAACCCCTTCTCCTGTAGACATTTACTAAAAAAGAGAAGAAGAAAAACTTTATAAAACTGGGATGCTTGAATGTGCGTGGATGTAGTGCAGATGACAAGAAACAGATGATTGCTGATGTTATGAATGAAAAGAAGTTGGATGTCCTGGCCTAAGCGAAACAAAGCTGAAGGGGTAGGGGAGTTTCGGTGGGGGGAAATAAATGGGATTAAATCTGGAGTATCTGAGAGAGTTAGAGCAAAGAAAGGGGTAGCAGTAATGTTGAATGATCAGTTATGGAAGGAGAAAAGAGAATATGAATGTGTAAATGCAAGAATTATGTGGATTAAAGTAAAGGTTGGATGCGAGAAGTGGGTCATAATAAGCGTGTATGCACCTGGAGAAGAGAGGAATGCAGAGGAGAGAGAGAGATTTTGGGAGATGTTAAGTGAATGTATAGGAGCCTTTGAACCAAGTGAGAGAGTAATTGTGGTAAGGGACCTGAATGCTAAAGTAGGAGAAACTTTTAGAGAGGGTGTGGTAGGTAAGTTTGGGGTGCCAGGTGTAAATGATAATGGGAGCCCTTTGATTGAACTTTGTATAGAAAGGGGTTTAGTTATAGGTAATACATATTTTAAGAAAAAGAGGATAAATAAGTATACAAGATATGATGTAGGGCGAAATGACAGTAGTTTGTTGGATTATGTATTGGTAGATAAAAGACTGTTGAGTAGACTTCAGGATGTACATGTTTATAGAGAGGCCACAGATATATCAGATCACTTTCTAGTTGTAGCTACACAGAGTAAAAGGTAGATGGGATACAAGGAGAATAGAAGCATCAGGGAAGAGAGAGGTGAAGGTTTATAAACTAAAATAGGAGGCAGTTAGGGAAAGATATAAACAGCTATTGGAGGATAGATGGGCTAATGAGAGCATAGGCAATGGGGTCGAAGAGGTATGGGGTAGGTTTAAAAATGTAGTGTTAGAGTGTTCAGCAGAAGTTTGTGGTTACAGGAAAGTGGGTGCGGGAGGGAAGAGGAGCGATTGGTGGAATGATGATGTAAAGAGAGTAGTAAGGGAGAAAAAGTTAGCATATGAGAAGTTTTTACAAAGTAGAAGTGATGCAAGGAGGGAAGAGTATATGGAGAAAAAGAGAGAGGTTAAGAGAGTGGTGAAGCAATGTAAAAAGAGAGCAAATGAGAGAGTGGGTGAGATGTTATCAACAAATTTTGTTGAAAATAAGAAAAAGTTTTGGAGATTAACAAGTTAAGGAAGCCTAGAGAACAAATGGATTTGTCAGTTAAAAATAGGAGAGGAGAGTTATTAAATGGAGAGTTAGAGGTATTGGGAAGATGGAGGGAATATTTTGAGGAATTGTTAAATGTTGATGAAGATAGGGAAGCTGTGATTTCGTGTATAGGGCAAGGAGGAATAACATCTTGTAGGAGTGAGGAAGAGCCAGTTGTGAGTGTGGGGGAAGTTCGTGAGGCAGTAGGTAAAATGAAAGGGGGTAAGGCAGCCAGGATTGATGGGATAAAGATAGAAATGTTAAAAGCAGGTGGGGATATAGTTTTGGAGTGGTTGGTGCAATTATTTAATAAATGTATGGAAGAGGGTAAGGTACCTAGGGATTGGCAGAGAGCATGCATAGTTCCTTTGTATAAAGGCAAAGGGGACAAAAGAGAGTGCAAAAATTATAGGGGGATAAGTCTGTTGAGTATACCTGGTAAAGTGTATGGTAGTTATTATTGAAAGAATTAAAAGTAAGACGGAGAATAGGATAGCAGATGAACAAGGAGGCTTTAGGAAAGGTAGGGGGTGTGTGGACCAGGTGTTTACAGTGAAACATATAAGTGAACAGTATTTAGATAAGGCTAAAGAGGTCTTTGTGGCATTTATGGATTTGGAAAAGGCGTATGACAGGGTGGATAGGGGGGCAATGTGGCAGATGTTGCAGGTGTATGGTGTAGGAGGTAGGTTACTGAAAGCAGTGAAGAGTTTTTACGAGGATAGTGAGGCTCAAGTTAGAGTACATAGGAAAGAGGGAAATTATTTCCCAGTAAAAGTAGGCCTTAGACAAGGATGTGTGATGTCACTGTGGTTGTTTAATATATTTATAGATGGGGTTGTAAGAGAAGTAAATGCGAGGGTCTTGACAAGAGGCGTGGAGTTAAAAGATAAAGAATCACACAAAGTGGGAGTTGTCACAGTTGCTCTTTGCTGATGACACTGTGCTCTTGGGAGATTCTGAAGAGAAGTTGCAGAGATTGGTGGATGAATTTGGTAGGGTGTGCAAAAGAAGAAAATTAAAAGTGAATACAGGAAAGAGTAAGGTTATGAGGATAACAAAAGTATTAGGTGATGAAAGATTGGATATCAGATTGGAGGGAGAGAGTATGGAGGAAGTGAATGTATTCAGATATTTGGGAGTGGACGTGTCAGCGGATGGGTCTATGAAGGATGAGGGGAATCATAGAATTGATGAGGGGAAAAGGGTGAGTGGTGCACTTAGGAGTCTGTGGAGACAAAGAACTTTGTCCTTGGAGGCAAAGAGGGGAATGTATGAGAGTATAGTTTTACCAACACTCTTATATGGGTGTGAAGCATGGGTGATGAATGTTGCAGCGAGGAGAAGGCTGGACGCAGTGGAGATGTCATGTCTGAGGGCAATGTGTGGTGTGAATATAATGCAGAGAATTCATAGTTTGGAAGTTAGGAGGAGGTGCGGGATTACCAAAACTGTTGTCCAGGAGGCTGAGGAAGGGTTGTTGAGGTGGTTCGGACATGTAGAGAGAATGGAGCGAAACAGAATGACCTCAAGAGTGTATCAGTCTGTAGTGGAAGGAAGGCGGGGTAGGGGTCGGCCTAGGAAAGGTTGGAGGGAGGGGGTAAAGGAGGTTTTGTGTGCGAGGGGCTTGGACTTCCAGCAGGCGTGCGTGAGCGTGTTTGATAGGAGTGAATGGAGACGAATGGTTTTTAATACTTGACGTGCTGTTGGAGTGTGAGCAAAGTAACATTTATGAAGGGGTTCAGGGAAACCGGCAGGCCAGACTTGAGTCCTGGAGATGGGAAGTACAGTGCCTGCACTCTGAAGGAGGGGTGTTAATGTTGCAGTTTAAGAACTGTAGTGTAAAGCACCCTTCTGGCAAGACAGTGATGGAGTGAATGATGGTGAAAGCTTTTCTTTTTCGGGCCACCCTGCCTTGGTGGGAATCGGCCAGTGAGATAATAAAAAAAAAAAAATGCTGCGATGCATTGTATCCTGAATATTTTCTGCTCAGATGCTGTGCATATTACATGCTTTCCAAAAACTGTAATTACAGGAGGGCCCCACTCATGCAGCAGGTGAGGTTCCAGGCTACCGCTGTAAAACTAAAATCGTTGTAAAGTGAATCATAGGTTTTTTTTTTACTTTCAAATGAAAATAAAAGCGAGTGTGGTGAAAGTGTTGAATGATGAAAGTATTTTCTTTTTGGGGATTTTCTTTCTTTTTCTTTTTGGGTCACCCTGCCTTGGTGGGAGACGGCCGACTTGTTGGGGGGGAAGAAGAAAAAAAAAAAAAAAGCCTGGTATGTTTACACTATCATGTATTAAGTGAGCAATATAGCTAGGCCTAAAAAAAATACATATACGGTACAAACATTACTTCTTTTTCTTTCAACAAACCGGCCGTATCCCACCGAAGCAGGGTGGCCCAAAAAGAAAAACGAAAGTCTCTCTTTTTGACTTAAGTAATGTATACAGGAGAAGGGGTTACTAGCCCCTTGCTCCCAGCATTTTAGTCTCCTCTTACGACACGCATGGCTTACGAAGGAAGAATTCTGTTCCACTTCCCCATGGAGATAAGTGGAAATCAACAAGAACTAGTAAGAGTGAAGAAAACCCAGAGGGATGTGTATATATATATGCTTGTACATGCATATGTAGTGTGACCTAAGTGTAAGTAGGAGTAGAAAGACGTACCTGAAATCTTGCACATTTATGAGACAAAAAAACACCAGCAATCCTACCATCATGTAAAACAATTACAGGCTTTCGTTTTAAACTCACTTGATAGTAGTACCTCCCTGGGTGGTTGCTATCTACCAACCTACTACCTAGACAAACATTACTTGCCTTAAAATATTTTCGTCCTTAGTTTACAGTGAGTGGTGAATACATTTATTGTAGTAAAGAATGGGTATAATTGAAAATTGCCATATTAGTAAAACACTAAAGTGAGGCTTGCCTGTACAGTAGAACCCGTTAATTTTACATAACATTAGCACCAAAGCATAACAGTAGTGATGGTGGCTGTTCTTCAAAGACTAAGAGAAGCCATCAGTGAAAAAATGTTAATTCTGAATTTCTTGTTCATAATTTATCAATTAAACATCATGTAAACAAAACTGACTTAAATATAGGGTTTGCTACTATCCACAGTTTCGGGTATCCAAGGTAGGTCTTAGAACGTATCCCCCTTGGATATGGGGGGTCTACTGTTTTATGTACAAGTTTTTTAAATAATTTTTTTTTAACACCCTGGCCATCTCCAACGATGGCAGAGTGGCCCCCAAACAAGAAGAAACTAAAGTTTTATCTTTTTTCCATTTAGTAATTTATACAGAAGAAAGGGGTTACTAGCACCTTGCTCTCGGCATTTCAGTCTTCTTTTACAACCTGCATGGCTTGCCGAGGAAGAATTCTTTTCCACTTCATGGAAATGAAGATATATATGTACATGTATGTAATATTTTACATAAATAAATAAAATAAATACATAGTAGCAATAATGTTGAAGGATAAGCTATGGCAGGAAAAGAGGGACTATAAATGTAAAATAAAGATTGGATGTGAAAAGTGGGTTATAATAAGCGTGTATGCACCTGGAGAAGAGAGAAGTGTAGAGGAGAGAGAGAGATTTTGGGAAATGTTGAGTGAATGCATGGGGAGTTTTGAATCAAGTGTGAGAGTAATGGTGGTTGGGGATTTCAATGCTAAAGTGGGTAAAAATGTTATGGAGGGAGTAGTAGGTAAATTTGGGGTGCCAGGGGTAAATGTAAATGGGGAGCCTTTAATTGAGCTATGTGTAGAAAGAAATTTGGTAATAAGTAATACATATTTTATGAAAAAGAGGATAAATAAATATACAAGGTATGATGTAGCACGTAATGAAAGTAGTTTATTAGATTATGTATTGGTGGATAAAAGGTTGATGGGTAGGCTCCAGGATGTACATGTTTATAGAGGGGCAACTGATATATCGGATCATTATTTAGTTGTAGCTACAGTTAGAGTAAGAGGTAGATGGGAAAAGAGGAAGTTGGCAACAACAAGTAAGAGGGAGGTGAAAGTGTATAAACTAAGGGAGGAGGAAGTTCGGGTGAGATATAAGCGACTATTGGCAGAAAGGTGGGATAGTGCAAAGATGAGTAATATAACGGGGTTGTTTTGGTATTCTGGTAGCGGGTGTGAATGATATACTTCTTCGGAGGCTTCTTACTTTATTGTTAAGTCATTGTGGGTTACACAGGCTTGTGTGTTTGTGCCCATGGCCCGGGCAGGGCCATGCCCACGAGAGAGAGCTGGGAGGCCTTGTATCTTGATGCCAGGCCGCTGTGTGAGTGAGAGCGAGGCAAGTCTGGGCATACTGAAGTGGCAAGGCCTATAGATGGCAGCACCAGCATAGCGCGAAATATGAACTAAGCTGGCAGACAGCATGGGCTGTCTGTGCAGACAGTACAGGCTGTCTACAGTAATGGGGGGGTTGAAGAGGGTTGGAATAGTTTTAAAAATGCAGTATTAGAATGTGGGGCAGAAGTTTGTGGTTATAGGAGGGTGGATGCAGGAGGAAAGAGGAGTGATTGGTGGAATGATGAAAGGGTGTGATAAAAGTGAAAAAGGTAGCTTATGAGAGGTTTTTACAAAGTAGAAGTGTTATAAGAAGAGCAGAATATAGGGAGAGGAAAAGAAAGGTAAAGAGAGTGGTGAGAGTGCAAAAGGAGAGCAGATGATAGAGTGGGAGAGGCACTGTCAAGAAATTTTAATGAAAATAAGAAAAAATTTTGGAGTTAAACAAGTTAAGAAAGCCAAGGGAAAATATGGATTTGTCAGTTAAAAACAGAGTAGGGGAGTTAGTAGATGGGGAGATGGAGGTATTAGGTAGATGGCGAGAATATTTTGAGGAACTTTTAAATGTTAAGGAAGAAACAGAGGCAGTAATTTCATGCACTGGTCAGGGAGGTATACCATCTTTTAGGAGTGAAGAAGAGCAGAATGTAAGTGTGGGGAGGGACGTGAGGCATTACGTAAAATGAAAGGGGTAAAGCAGCTGGAACTGATGGGATCATGACAGAAATGTTAAAAGCAGGGGGGGATATAGTGTTGGAGTGGTTGGTACTTTTGTTCAATAAATGTATGAAAGAGGGGAAGGTACCTAGGGATTGGCGGAGAGCATGTATAGTCCCTTTATATAAAGGGAAAGGGGACAAAAGAGACTGTAAAAATTATAGAGGAATAAGCTTACTGAGTATACCAGGAAAAGTGTACGGTAGGGTTATAATTGAAAGAATTAGAGGTAAGACAGAATGTAGGATTGCGGATGAGCAAGGAGGTTTCAGAGTGGGTAGGGGATGTGTAGATCAAGTGTTTACATTGAAGCATATATGTGAACAGTATTTAGATAAAGGTAGGGAAGTTTTTATTGCATTTATGGATTTAGAAAAGGCATATGATAGAGTGGATAGAGGAGCAATGTGGCAGATGTTGCAAGTATATGGAATAGGTGGTAAGTTATTAAATGCTGTAAAGATTTTTTATGAGGATAGTGAGGCTCAGGTTAGGGTGTGTAGAAGAGAGGGAGACTATTTCCCGGTAAAAGTAGGTCTTAGACAGGGATGTGTAATGTCACCATGGTTGTTTAATATATTTATAGATGGGGTTGTAAAGGAAGTAAATGCTAGGGTGTTTGGGAGAGGGGTGGGATTAAATTTTGGGGAATCAAATTCAAAATGGGAATTGACACAGTTACTTTTTGCTGATGATACTGTGCTTATGGGAGATTCTAAAGAAAAATTGCAAAGGTTAGTGGATGAGTTTGGGAATGTGTGTAAAGGTAGAAAGCTGAAAGTGAACATAGAAAAGAGTAAGGTGATGAGGGTGTCAAATGATTTAGATAAAGAAAAATTGGATATCAAATTGGGGAGGAGGAGTATGGAAGAAGTGAATGTTTTCAGATACTTGGGAGTTGACGTGTCGGCGGATGGATTTATGAAGGATGAGGTTAATCATAGAATTGATGAGGGAAAAAAGGTGAGTGGTGCGTTGAGGTATATGTGGAGTCAAAAAACGTTATCTATGGAGGCAAAGAAGGGAATGTATGAAAGTATAGTAGTACCAACACTTTTATATGGGTGTGAAGCTTGGGTGGTAAATGCAGCAGCGAGGAGACGGTTGGAGGCAGTGGAGATGTCCTGTTTAAGGGCAATGTGTGGTGTAAATATTATGCAGAAAATTCGGAGTGTGGAAATTAGGAGAAGGTGTGGAGTTAATAAAAGTATTAGTCAGAGGGCAGAAGAGGGTTGTTGAGGTGGTTTGGTCATTTAGAGAGAATGGATCAAAGTAGAATGACATGGAAAGCATATAAATGTATAGGGGAAGGAAGGCGGGGTAGGGGTCGTCCTCGAGAGGGTTGGAGAGAGGGGGTAAAGGAGGTTTTGTGGGCGAGGGGCTTGGACTTCCAGCAAGCGTGCGTGAGCGTGTTAGATAGGAGTGAATGGAGACGAATGGTACTTGGGACCTGACGATCTGTTGGAGTGTGAGCAGGGTAATATTTAGTGAAGGGATTCAGGGAAACCAGTTATTTTCATATAGTCGGACTTGAGTCCTGGAAATGGGAAGTACAATGCCTGCACTTTAAAGGAGGGGTTTGGGATATTGGCAGTTTGGAGGGATATGTTGTGTATCTTTATATGTGTATGCTTCTACCTGGAGTTTACCTGGAGAGAGTTTCGGGGGTCAACGCCCCCGCGGCCCGGTCTGTGACCAGGCCTCTAGACTGTTGTATTCTGAGCACCTCTGCAAAAACAGTGATAATGTGCGAGTGTGGTGAAAGTGTTGAATGATGATGAAAGTATTTTCTTTTTGGGGATTTTCTTTCTTTTTTGGGTCACCCTGCCTCGGTGGGAGACGGCCGACTTGTTGAGAAAAAAAAAAAAAAAAAAAAAAAAAAATACATAGTGTATATTTCTTCCTCCGTAAGCCATGTGTGTCATAAGAGGCGACTAAAAATGCTGGGAGCAAGGGACTAGTAACCCCTTCTGTATAAATTCCTAAACTGAAGAAAAACTTTTGTTTATCTTTTTAGGTCACCCTGCCTCGGTGGGATACGGCCATATTGTGGGGGGGGAAAGAAAGAGAGAAGGGGGGGTAGGACCCCCGTATCCACAGGGGGTATGTTCCAAGACCTACCGCGGATAGTAGTGAACCCTATATACAGGTTTTTTTCATTTACATACATATATACCTATGATAGTTTAATTGATAAATTATGCACAGTAAGCAGAGAAATAGCACTTTTTCACTGATGGGAAGCACTTCACAGCTTCTCTTAGGCTCTGAAGAACTGCTATCATCACTGCTTTTGCATTTTGGGGCCATTATTCAGCAAAATTATGGTTATTTTTGGGCAAGGATAAACCATAGAAACCAGACCAGCGGATATGGCAGTCTTACTGTATATATATTCTTTATAAATGGGCATAAGTGTATACTGAGTTGTATATTTATAATTACATTAATTAAATATCTTACCTCAGCAAAGTGTTTATCAGCTTGACGGAAAAGGACATCTTGGTTGCACTTAGGTGTACACATTCCAACACCTCTGCTATCCACCCATATTTGCCGAGGGGGACAAGCTACCTTAGAAGGGTCCTGCAACACAAGAATGCATTTGATATAGAGGCTTGTCTTGGGTGTAGTGTGTATTCTTCATACAAGTACAGTACTAAGTTTGAGGTGGAGGAGGTCTTATTATTAATAGCCATGTACGAAGAATAAAAAAATATAACCGCCTGTGCAACATTTGAATACCCAAACGTTGCACAAGTGTCTCATTCTTCAATTTATTGTTTTCTAAACCATTTATACATATATATCCTATTACCGTTTCTTGCCTTTTCCAATGTTGAGAATGGTGTAGGGATACAGTACTAACATATGTTAAAGCCGTCTTAGTCTGTGAACATGTTAAAGACCACAGCAGTGATAACAAATAATGTAATTTAAGATGAAAGGTTCCAAATACAGTGCAACTCCACTGCAGCAGCAATGTTGGGGCCATGATCATTGTAAAACTTTTTTTGTGGGGGGGAAGGGAGGGGGCTTTAAAAATTACACTAATCTGATAAAATTATGGACAGATGTTTTAAATTATAAGAATGCTTGAAGATTCACAAATGCTCATATGAAGGACCATGGCATCAATATTCACCTGTGGTGCAGGAGACATGCGAGTATTGATAGGATGGAGTGTTCGAGAGGACCCAGAATGCTCCCGGGGAAGCCAGGATGATGTTGCATTGGGTGGTTCCATACAGAGGCCATTATCCTCAGGAGTGGGTAGACGAGAGCAATCCAGAACTGCTGGCCATGAAAAATTGAACTTCTGCAGCACTGGTAGGCAATTCTGCCTGACCTGTACAGTAAAAATAGAGATAAAGATTTATTTGAAGTTGTACAGTATTAGAGGTGTTCATACAAAGACAGACAAATCTTCAAAGAAATTACATTCTATTCAAGATTGATGGACTGAACACATCGACTCAAGGTTGAGGGACTGATTACCTCATTCTCCTCCTGTTCTTCAAGTTTCTCCTACGTATGGACTGATAAAGCCACTGTGTGGCGAAACGTTTCCTCAATAAAGATACCCAAGAGTTGCACATGTGTCTAATTTATCAAAATGTCGGTTCTCTGAACCATTCATCTACAAATAAATTACAATATACATACCAGAGCTCGATCTATATCCATGCATTATTAAAAGGTGGATTTTACGAACAAAACATTTACCTCCCATGTAATTACAGTATCATTTGTAATTATATACAGGCAGTTATACAGCAGGTCAGGTTCTGGGTTGCAGATAAAGAGTGAAACAGCCTTTTATCACTTTCAAATACTACATGCAAAAGTCTGATAACATATTTAAACTATCATATATTAAGTGAGCAACAGTGCTATGCCTATATACAGGCATATACAGTACACACAGTACTTACCTTTCAAATATTCTCAGCTTTAGCTTATAGTAAGTAGTGAATATAATTATTGTAGGAAGTCTGAATAAATGAAGAATGGGATAACTGAAAACTGCTGCATTAGTGACACACTGTAAAGCAAACACTGTGCAAGAAAGGTATAAAATACCGACAATATGAAAGTTAAGACACATGTGCAACATCTGGATATCTTTATTGTAGTAGACGTTTCGCCATCCAGTGGCTTTATCAATACAGATTCTAGGACATAATAGGAAGACAGTAGAACTATATACAAAAGATGAGGTAATCAGTCCCTCGGCCTTGGAGTTAGTGTTCACAGCATCGTGGTGGAGGAGAGTCTGGAGCAAAGGCAAGAAGACTGGCGCTTTTTATAGGCGTCAGTGAATGGACGGCAGCAGACGAGGGCAGTCACTGGTAGGCGGGATTCCCCAGTGGAAGTAGGTCCTTCCCAAAGAGATGGGTTAGTTGCAGCAGCCGTGAAGAAGGTCTTGTAGATGTCCTCTGAACCAAGATTCCATGATGTTGCAGTGTCTGACAAGTTGTGCAAGAAAGGTATAAAATACCGACATATGAAAGTTAAGACACATGTGCAACATCTGGATATCTTTATTGTAGTAGACGTTTCGCCATCCAGTGGCTTTATCAATACAGATTCTAGGACATAATAGGAAGACAGTAGAACTATATACAAAAGATGAGGTAATCAGTCCCTCGGCCTTGGAGTTAGTGTTCACAGCATCGTGGTGGAGGAGAGTCTGGAGCAAAGGCAAGAAGACTGGCGCTTTTTATAGGCGTCAGTGAATGGGACGGGCAGCAGACGAGGGCAGTCACTGGTAGGCGGGATTCCCCAGTGGAAGTAGGTCCTTCCCAAAGAGATGGGTTAGTTGCAGCAGCCGTGAAGAAGGTCTTGTAGATGTCCTCTGAACCAAGATTCCATGATGTTGCAGTGTCTGACAAGTTGTGCAAGAAAGGTATAAAATACCGACAATATGAAAGTTAAGACACATGTGCAACATCTGGATATCTTTATTGTAGTAGACGTTTCGCCATCCAGTGGCTTTATCAATACAGATTCTAGGACATAATAGGAAGACAGTAGAACTATATACAAAAGATGAGGTAATCAGTCCTCCACCACGATGCTGTGAACACTAACTCCAAGGCCGAGGGACTGATTACCTCATCTTTTGTATATAGTTCTACTGTCTTCCTATTATGTCCTAGAATCTGTATTGATAAAGCCACTGGATGGCGAAACGTCTACTACAAAAAAGATATCCAGATGTTGCACATGTGTCTTAACTTTCATATTGTCGGTATTTTATACCTTTCTTGCACAACTTGTCAGACACTGCAACATCATGGAATCTTGGTTCAGAGGACATCTACAAGACCTTCTTCACGGCTGCTGCAACTAACCCATCTCTTTGGGAAGGACCTACTTCCACTGGGGAATCCCGCCTACCAGTGACTGCCCTTGTCTGCTGCCCGTCCCATTCACTGACGCCTATAAAAAGCGCCAGTCTTCTTGCCTTTGCTCCAGACTCTCCTCCACCACGATGCTGTGAACACTAACTCCAAGGCCGAGGGACTGATTACCTCATCTTTTGTATATAGTTCTACTGTCTTCCTATTATGTCCTAGAATCTGTATTGATAAAGCCACTGGATGGCGAAACGTCTACTACAATAAAGATATCCAGATGTTGCACATGTGTCTTAACTTTCAAAGCAAACACTGCCTGTACTTAAGTTGGGGGGAGGGGGGTAGAGAGCCCTAGCCTTTGGCACTAACTCTTACTTTTTACTAAATGACATGCAACAGCTTGGTCATATAGTAACTACCTTTTTAACTGCTCTATTTTCATCTTGTTTCATGGTTTACATTTCTCCTGTGTTGAAGAAACACTTTCTGATATCCCTGTGGTCGTTTTGTTGTGCAGTTTTAAACCATGCCTTGTTCTATATGTTCCATCCATGTTGCAGAGTAAGGCTGTGCCAAAGCACCGATATCTGTCGTATCGGCTAAATTTGATGGTATCAGAATTGGCCTAAAATTGAGTATAGGCACTGGCAAAAAATTTGGTATCGTCCCAGCCCCAGTGCAGAGCCTGTCTTTGCTCTTGTTGTCTATGCCCCGAGTATTTTGTACGTCACGATCATAACCTCTCCTGTTCTTCGTTGGGCAGAAAACTGGGCTCTTTCATTTGTAGATAGGGCATTTCTCTTGGCTCAAACTTGTGTATATCTAGATACATGAAGGGTTATGAACACTAACGGTACAAAGAAAAGATATGAAGGCTACATTTCGAAATACAAGTAAGCCCTTTCCTGCTTCCATACAGAAAAGTGAAATACATAAACGAACCCACATGGAAAGAACTGGTGCGGTGGGTTGAATTACTGAGTATCATCCCCCCCCCCCCCACAACTAAGACCTTTTTTCCATCTTGGTGAAGAGGAAATCAGTGGGCGGCCGAAATATACAACACTTCTTGTCTGTTGAATTTTATCCATGTAGGTTCGTTTGTACAGTGAGAGACTGAAAGAGTATACGTTCACTCACCTCAAGGCAGATGGACCTGCAGGACGGGACTGGGGTGGCCACAACAGGGGAGCACATGGGAGCATACAGTGAGCACAGGAAGAACCTCAAGTTACGGCTGCAACCAATGTCGACCAGCGGCATATACTCGTGAACCTGAAATACACTTCGAGTTACTCTGATGCACTAAATACATATTCTCTCAAACAATCTACATCACAAAGAATCACACTCGTAGCTCGATTGGTAGCGCACTTGACTCGCACACTGAGGTCCGTGTCTCGATCCCTGGTACGGGTGGAAAAATTAGGACGTGTTTCCTTACATCTTGTGTCCCTGTTCACCTAATAGTAAAATAGGTACCCGAGTGTTAGTTGACTAATGTGGGTCACATCTTGGGGATAAAATTGACCTAATTTGCCAGAAATCCACTGCATAAGGGGATTTCTATGTAGTAGTCTGTCACTGATGTTACCTAGGTCTGTATACGTTGTACATGTAAATATTATATTATTATTATTAACCTGATCAAGAAGTTCCATGAGCAATTATAATTGAAGAAAAAGTTAAAATATATCAGATTAAAAAAAAGTGAGTTCATGGATTTCAGAAAGGCCTTTAACAGAGTACCACACAGGAAATTGTTGAAGAAAGTAGCGGCACAAGGAACAGGTGCAGAAATGTCCTGGATCGAGGTTTGATTGATCAATAAATAGCAGTGTGCTTTCATAAATGAGAAATCAGAGTGGTGTCCCGTTACCAGTGGTGTTCCACAGAGACCAGTACTGAGCTCCTTATTGTTCGCAATACACATATATATTTATTATCTCAGGCCCTGATTCAGATGAATGGTGTTATTTATCCAGCCATGTGCGCTACACTGGAGAAAAAATATTTTACGGATCAATTTTAACTGTGCGTACGGGGGATCAAAATGCGATATTTCGGCACAACGTAATTCAAATTTTCGAGGCAAGCGTAAAAGCTTTTATCTATGAAGGGAATCCCCCCCCCCCACCCTCCGTCACTTAGGATCAACGAAAGATAAGAGTTATCAGAGGAAACAGCGTTATCATCCAGGGATTACAAACGCAAAGCCAAACATTGCCAATCATTCATCCCGAGTGCAACTAAGGAGGAATGATGGTAATATATATAACCACTGCGGTCTTTCTGTTGAGCTACACAATATGCCATAACTAACAGCTCAAGTAACTAAAGTGATATAAGCAAAGTCTTCCAGTGATACTCTAAGTAATGATACTATTCAAGTCACTCCTCTACAGCTTGGAATACTGCTGCATACTAATGGTCTCCATCAAGGCAGGTCCGACTACTGAAAAAAAAAAAAAACTTTTACTGCCTATATACATTCAATCAAACATTTGAACTATTGGGAACACTTTTTAAAGTCTCTTCAACTGTATTCCTTAGAACGCGAGAGAAAAAAGTACAGCAGAATTTGGTATAAACCTTGGTAATAAACACCGAGAAGTTGGTTTAGAAAAAGGACATATTTATTAGAAAATTTTTCGGTCCTGGGACCTTGATCAAGGTTCCAGCACCGAAACTTTTTCTAATAAATATGTCCTAGTGTTTACCTACGTGTTTTTCTAAACCAACAGAAAGACTGGTCCCAAACCTGCGCACTGAAATCACTCCATATGAAAACCAAACTTGGCAGACGGTGCAGAGTACCTCTAATAAAAAGCACGGACAGTGTCAGAGGTCCCCGACTTTTCAAAATCCTCCCTTCGTAAATAAGAGGAATTACCAACAAACCTCTGCTTGTCTTCAAGAGAGAACTTGGCAAGTTCCTCAAATCAGTTCCTAGCCACAGTCTGTGGTTGGCATACTGGAGTGGGTGCGACCAGTAGTAACAGCCTGTTTTATCAGGTCTTGATCCATCAGGAAGCTTTGTCTGGGATCAGGCCGTAGGAGCACTGACCCCCGAAAACATCCTTCAGGTGTACAATGGTGATAAATTCCAACTCCTTAGATATGGAAAGAATGAAGAATTCAATAGGGACACTGTATAAAAGATGTAAAATCACCAAACAGAACCAAAGGAACATGTGAAGGACCCGGGTGTAATAATGTTAGCCGATCTTTTCTTTAAAGAAACGCAATAAGGCAAATGTCACAAAAGCGAACCTTCAAAACAAGGGGAAATTGTGCCAATGGTGACACTTCACATTACGTATGCTCTCTGGCTTTGTTCGGTGTTAGCGGCTCCATTAAGGGCAAGAGATATATTGGAGCTAACATAGATCATTGTAGCCCCACACAGAGCCAATAAAACAATTAAATTACTGGGAACGCATCAAGTCCTAAATACTTACTCACCTGTAATGAGTTTTTGAGTTTCCACTCCGTAACCAGGCCCTGGGTTACATATCCATTACAGCCTGGCTGATCTGCGCTTAGTGGAGATAATTGTCCAGTTTCCTCTTGAAAACTTTTGCACTTGTCCCAGGAGTATTACTGATATTTTTCTGGTAATATGCTAAATAGTCTGGGACGACGGACATTATATAGCTATATGGAAGGCAGTCGAGGTCTTGGCCCCTGATCTGCACACTGCCATAGCCTAACGAAGTGAGAGATATGAGGGAAAAAATGCAAAACAGACCCAGTGAAAGCTGGGCACAATGAAAGAACATTGTACAGCATCCTTGGGCCGGCTATTTAACATTGTTCCAGTCACAGTACAGTGCCGTTTTGTTCTTTATCTTACCGGAAGCTATCTTAAACACTGCCGTAATACGTGTACAAGTGGCAGCCCGAAAAGTACCTTCGCCAAGTGCAGGATCAATCAGGTTGAGATGGATATGTGGGCCAGACGGCCGCTAGCAGCAACAGCCTAGTTGACCAGGCTGGTTGGCCCAAGGCCGGACTGCAGAAGTAGGAAAACTCATGAAACCCAAAGGTATATCAAAGTTAACACTGAGTATCAAATAAACAGCATATGGATTCCTGATATACAAGTTGGCACCCAAAACCGTAAACATACAGAATCCGGATACAGACTCGGCGCTCAAGAGCTACTGAAAATAAGATTTCTGCTTCAGCCTTGATGCGCAAGAAAGACTATCTCACCCTGCCCCTGCCAGGTGCATTGGTGGCTAATTTTTCTCATTCTCTCCCTGGGATGCTTATCATACTGCCCCCCTAGGTTCATAATTCTCTTCTTGGGATGTGTCATACTCTGCCTAATAAGTGCATTGCTCTTTTACAAGAATGCTCGTCATACTCTACTTACTTGGCAAATTTTCTTCCTGTGACAATTATCCTCATCATACTCTTGCCCACTGGGCAATAAGTCAAGGCACTAAATTTCGCCTATATCAAGAGTAAGTCTTCTGTCCTAATCTTTGGAAGCAAGACAAGGCCAGTCAATGCCCTCAGTTGCAGCCTCTATAACGCACCAAGTCGGTCAGCTTCCCACTAAAAACCTTCCTATTCCTAATTCAAAATGGCTAAAAACAAAAATGGAGTCATCAGTTACTACAACATCCTTCTTCCTCTGCAAATCACGTCCCCAAGCCTTTCCTGTGCCTGAGTAACCCTTGCTTAAGAATTCTGAAGTATATACAAAAAAACATCCTTGCTTAAGAAGTCTTAATCATACACAAAAATCGAGGTTTCTACAAAATTAGCGGATTAAAAACAAATCAACAAATCTGTGGGACCACTAGATGAAAAAAAGATGAAAGTGAACCAGTTATATGCTAGCATAATACAGATGCCCGTTTTTACTTTTATCGATTTCAAATGTAGAAGCGGGGATAAAAGTACAGAATCAGGATTTTCAGACTTGGCTCTTAGGAACGTAGACATACTAAATTTGGATATTTGACTGCGTTGAAGAACACAAAGAACAAAGCACCAAAAATCTGCACTTAGGAGAGAAACGTTAGGATGATGTTTCGGTCAAACCACAAATGAGCGAGAAAAAGGCCTTCTCTGCCCTTTTTTTCCGATTAGGTATTTGACACTTGTCCAGGATAGGCCGAAGCAGCCATTACAACATATGCAGCAGCAGTAGGGTATCTTTATTGTTCAAATGCTTCGCCTACGCTGTAGGCTTCCTCAGTATTCGACTGAAGAAGCCTACAGCGTAAGGCGTAAGCGAAAAATTTCAACAATAACGAGACCCAAGTGTTGCACACGTCTTACTCATCAACTTGTCATGGTATTATATACCATTTCCATCATGGTCATCCTAACGTTCCTCTCGTAAGTGTGGATTTTTTCATGATTTGTTCCAACTACGTTATTTCATAGATTCTTTGTAAACATAGAATCCGGATATCCAACTTAGCTTTAAAGTATCGTCAATATACTAAATCCTGGTATAAGAATATGTGGTCATTATTATATACAGAGAAAAGCTAATCCTGTAGGGGTCATACAACACCTGAGAAGTGGTACGCAATCGGGTTCGAGCCAAGGAAGGGGTAGACAGTACAGTTCCCCGGCCCAAGAGGCCCTGCAGAAGCATCAACCAACCTCCCTCGAAGAACGAACGCAGACAAAATACTGAATGTAGACTTAGCATTCATACGGAAACCGGGTATCAGAATCGGTGGTCGCGAACGTGAATAAGATACAGAGCCGCCGCCGACCTTGGCGGTGTACATGTCCCCTCCACCTCTGCCCTCAGCACTGGTGACTAATTTTCATGCTTGTCCTCTTCCTACTCTGCCCGCTAGGCCTTAAGTCGGAGCTAAATATTTTAGTTCCCCACCCACTGCAGAATTTTAGGACTGCGAGATAAAATGATCACTAAGGCAAAATATTTTAATTTTCAAAGGGGGTGAGCCTGTGGAAGGTCTCTGTCAGATGACCAAAAGCTCTAGTGGCGGGTCATCATATGACAAAGACCCGGGTGAGGAAAATACTTATCTTGTTTCCTGACAAACCTTACCTAAAGCAGAATGTTTTATTATACATATAAAAAAAACCGTACGAGTCATAGACAGCACAAGGCAATGCAGGCGGCTGACTATTCCGAGTCAGTGAACATACGCACCGGATATTTATTACTATGAAAAATCGTGGTTAATGCTAAATTATATCATGCAGAAGAATTGTTTCATTACTAATTAAACGTATTTCTATATTATCCCTTATTTGAAACATATTCTTTCCGG